AATAAGGAGAAGTCCCATGAAATACAGGTACTATCAATTTCAAGGGTGAAATACAGGAGACAATAGGTACATTACAAAAACACTGAAGGATAACAAACCGTGGCATATTATGCACGTCTGATGAAACTAATAGCAGCAACTACTCTGCACTGAGGGGTGAGAGGCACTTTCCGCATCATCACTCAAGTTGAATAGCAAAATATCTAATATCAATACACGAAGCTTTATAAATAGATCATGCGAAGCCGATCGTGACAGGAGTAAAAAAAAATTGAGGACTTGGCATTGTTATTCCTAGCTTCTAGCTCCCATTCAATACCGAGTATGAAAACGTAATATTTACCAACGCACCATAATTATAGCTCTGTACAGTCAGGGGCTGCAGTATAGACTGTTAATTTGCAAACCCACCACGCTTGGAATCTGGGTGAAGTGACATGTGACACAGTAATATTTCCAGATCCGTTCCAGATCATACCTTTGTGGAATATATGCGGGCTATTTTTCTTTACGGAGCATATAGTATCTGAAGGTGAGTTGTATTATTGTGGCGTGATCGTAAGCATGCCCCTTCCTATCTTATCCTTATTTTTTGTTGGTGCATTTAGATATGGCAGGGCGAAAAAATTGAAGCGTTAAATACTAATACCTCAGTCATATCAACGCGAGACCGACACGAGACCGACACGAGACCGACACGAGACCGACACGAGACCGACAACAGACTGAACAAAAATAATACAGCCAAACCCACTTTTGTGATCACCTGTCTACAAAGACCACTTGTCTACAACAAGCACATTTTTTGTTTCCCTTGAGAATGTTTTCTCATTAAAACATGACCTGTACGTACTAAAAGAACCTGTCTACACAGGCCACTTGTCTACAACAATCACATTTTTTGTTTCCCTTGAGAATGGTTTCTCATTAAAACATGACCTGTACGTACTAAAAGAACCTGTCTACACAGGCCACTTGTCTACAACAATCACATTTTTTGTTTCCCTTGAGAATGGTTTCTCATTAAAACATGACCTGTACGTACTAAAAGAACCTGTCTACACAGGCCACTTGTCTACAACAATCACATTTTTTGTTTCCCTTGAGAATGGTTTCTCATTAAAACATGACCTGTACGTACTAAAAGAACCTGTCTACACAGGCCACTTGTCTACAACAATCACATTTTTTGTTTCCCTTGAGAATGGTTTCTCATTAAAACATGACCTGTACGTACTAAAAGAACCTGTCTACACAGGCCACTTGTCTACAACAATCACATTTTTTGTTTCCCTTGAGAATGGTTTCTCATTAAAACATGACCTGTACGTACTAAAAGAACCTGTCTACACAGGCCACTTGTCTACAACAATCACATTTTTTGTTTCCCTTGAGAATGGTTTCTCATTAAAACATGACCTGTACGTACTAAAAGAACCTGTCTACACAGGCCACTTGTCTACAACAATCACATTTTTTGTTTCCCTTGAGAATGGTTTCTCATTAAAACATGACCTGTACGTACTAAAAGAACCTGTCTACACAGGCCACTTGTCTACAACAATCACATTTTTTGTTTCCCTTGAGAATGGTTTCTCATTAAAACATGACCTGTACGTACTAAAAGAACCTGTCTACACAGGCCACTTGTCTACAACAAGCACATTTTTTGTTTCCCTTGAGAATGGTTTCTCATTAAAACATGACCTGTACGTACTAAAAGAACCTGTCTACACAGGCCACTTGTCTACAACAATCACATTTTTTGTTTCCCTTGAGAATGGTTTCTCATTAAAACATGACCTGTACGTACTAAAAGAACCTGTCTACACAGGCCACTTGTCTACAACAATCACATTTTTTGTTTCCCTTGAGAATGGTTTCTCATTAAAACATGACCTGTACGTACTAAAAGAACCTGTCTACACAGGCCACTTGTCTACAACAAGCACATTTTTTGTTTCCCTTGAGAATGGTTTCTCATTAAAACATGACCTGTACGTACTAAAAGAACCTGTCTACACAGGCCACTTGTCTACAACAATCACATTTTTTGTTTCCCTTGAGAATGGTTTCTCATTAAAACATGACCTGTACGTACTAAAAGAACCTGTCTACACAGGCCACTTGTCTACAACAATCACATTTTTTGTTTCCCTTGAGAATGGTTTCTCATTAAAACATGACTTGTACTAAAAGAACCTGTCTACACAGGCCACTTGTCTACAACAATCACATGTTTTGTTTCCCTTGAGAATGGTTTCTCATTAAAACATGACCTGTACGTACTAAAAGAACCTGTCTACACAGGCCACTTGTCTACAACAATCACATTTTTTGTTTCCCTTGAGAATGGTTTCTCATTAAAACATGACCTGTACGTACTAAAAGAACCTGTCTACACAGGCCACTTGTCTACAACAATCACATTTTTTGTTTCCCTTGAGAATGGTTTCTCATTAAAACATGACCTGTACGTACTAAAAGAACCTGTCTACACAGGCCACTTGTCTACAACAATCACATTTTTTGTTTCCCTTGAGAATGGTTTCTCATTAAAACATGACCTGTACGTACTAAAAGAACCTGTCTACACAGGCCACTTGTCTACAACAATCACATTTTTTGTTTCCCTTGAGAATGGTTTCTCATTAAAACATGACCTGTACGTACTAAAAGAACCTGTCTACACAGGCCACTTGTCTACAACAATCACATTTTTTGTTTCCCTTGAGAATGGTTTCTCATTAAAACATGACCTGTACGTACTAAAAGAACCTGTCTACACAGGCCACTTGTCTACAACAAGCACATTTTTTGTTTCCCTTGAGAATGGTTTCTCATTAAAACATGACCTGTACGTACTAAAAGAACCTGTCTACACAGGCCACTTGTCTACAACAATCACATTTTTTGTTTCCCTTGAGAATGGTTTCTCATTAAAACATGACCTGTACGTACTAAAAGAACCTGTCTACACAGGCCACTTGTCTACAACAATCACATTTTTTGTTTCCCTTGAGAATGGTTTCTCATTAAAACATGACCTGTACGTACTAAAAGAACCTGTCTACACAGGCCACTTGTCTACAACAATCACATTTTTTGTTTCCCTTGAGAATGGTTTCTCATTAAAACATGACCTGTACGTACTAAAAGAACCTGTCTACACAGGCCACTTGTCTACAACAATCACATTTTTTGTTTCCCTTGAGAATGGTTTCTCATTAAAACATGTACTAAAGGAACCTGTCTATACAAAGACGGTCTACAACAAGCACATTTTTACCCCTTGGGCGGATGTTGTAGACAGGTGTGACTGTACATTATATACCACAAAATGGTCAAGAATCTGTTGGTACGGAATCGGTTTGGCGTTGTGACTGCCAGTAAGACCAACATAATGAGAAGGATGAATAGACGAACAAAATGAGAAGAGCTTCTGGAAAGAAGTCTTTCTTTAATCTACTTTTCATAACTAATAAATGCATGAAGGTAATATCATCTCAAATCTTATTTTTGTGTTGATGGAGTACATATTCCCTTATTTCCGGAAACTAGCCTCTATACAGAATCTTGTGAATTGAAGCCGATTGAATCATAGAGATTTATAAGTACAATGTGCAAGCCATTAAGAGTGTTAAAACCGTTTCGAAAAATACCATTACATTGAAAACTTTCGAAATATTTCCATTTCATGTTAAAAGTTTGATTACCATCCTGAAATTGATCGTTCTAAGTCATACCATTACCATGTCGTTGCGATTGCAATAACATGGTAGAAATTTGTATTTTGAGAAAATATAGTATTCCTGTATTCAAAATTAACTACAAAACAAAACTAATGTTCAGATATAAATGATTGTTTTCAATGTAGATGGGGTTTTAAAGAATGAATGGACATGCTTGTCAGAAGAGTTGCCATGGCAACAAAAAGAAGTAGAACTATAGTCATGCTTAATATCAGATTATACAGAAAATTGTGAATATGAGCACTTTAGAATAGTAACGATGAGCCGTGTACTATAATTTATTTAAGAAACGAGGGGGGGGGGGGACCCTATGGCGACACGGAAGTCATGTAATGCTGGAGAAGCCACGATGCGATTGAACGACGTATCATGTATATTGTAGATGTTTTCATGGTAATGGTTAAAGTAATACCGTGATGGACTATGTTTGCTCTTATCAAATTATGTGTCTGCCTAAAACACTTATCTCTTAATTTGGTACATGGCGTTCACATACTATTATCCGCAAAGGTAATGGAAGATTTAATTGCCTCTCGAGTCCCAGCCAGGAAATGAGCACTCATCGTCCGTTTCACATTTATTTACAAAAGGAAACACGATGAGTTTTAAACGGAAATTAATCCTCCCGGATCCATTAAGTTGGATTTTTTTCTTCAATTAAAATCTTTATTCAAGTTTTATAAAAAAAAAATTATACAGTGACCATATGCAAGATAATGGTTAGGACGCCTAGAAAGCAGAATTATGCTTGTTATCGGGGCCCTGTAGAAAAACAAGAACAAAAAATGAACGTAAATAACAATTAAAAAAACTTGCATAAGACAAACACGCACATACTCATAAACACACACATACACACACTCATAAAGGAACGTATCAAAGAAAAATGTGAAGGAGAGAAAAATAGGATTAACGAATTAAAAAAGGAGAAAGAAAGGGGAAAGAGGTACATCCTCATCCATAGATATTATTCTTGGAAAAATACCGTTTTTTGTACATCGATTTAAATCTGGTAAATTTAAAACTGTACCTAAGGTCATGATTCTTTGAATATATTTTGCAGGGAAAATGGCGCTACTTTCGAAGGTTTCCTTTGACCTTGTTATGGTGACCATGGTGACTGTTATCCTAGCTGGCCAAGGCGTTACGAAAGCACAAGGTGTGTATATTCTATATTTATCAGATGTAAAATAAACAAAAGTATTTTTGTTTGTAGCAAGTATTTAGAATAGAAGCCATATCATAGAGATGTGTAAGGCAAGTGATCTAGTTATCTCGAGGAAGAAGAAGAAGAACAACAAGAAGAATAAGAAGAAGAAAAGGGAAGAGGTAGAAGAAGAAGGAGAAGAATAACGAGGAGGCGGAGGGGAAGAAGAAGGAGAACATTTAAAATCACAACGTTGCGCCAAGTGAATGATAAATTTTTAGAATAATTTTTCTTGATCCCAGGTAATGATTTGAAAATTTAATTTTAATCAATAGGAATTGAATGAATGGAATTTTAAACTTATATCATTGCCTGATTTTCACTTATTCTGAAAATTCTCTCTCTTTCCCACTCTTCACCTCCCTGCCACCCCCCCCCCTGATCTCTACATGACACACTCCCTTTTCCACTCTCTCTATCCCACCTAAATATCTTTCCCCAACTCTCTCGCTCAACTCTCCCGCTCCCCTCTCTCTCTCTTTCTCATTTTCTTTCCGTCTCTTAATATTTCTCCCCCTCCCCTTTCTTTCTTTCTTTCTTTCGCTCTAACTGTCCCTCCCTCTTTCTCTCACTTCTCCCTACCCTACCCCCTCTCTCTCTCTCTCTCTCTCTCTTTCTCTCCCTCTCTCACTTCTCCCTACCCTCCCCCTCCCCCTTTCTTTCTTTCGCCCTCTCTCCCTCCCTCTTTCTCTCACTTCTCCCTACCTCCTTTGCCCCCCCTCTCTCTCTCTCTCTCTCTTCCCTCTCTCTCCCTCTTTCTCTTTTAGGTACCAATAATGGAAGCAACCTCAGTGCAGAAGGTCGGTTGATCAGAGACCTGATTGACACGGGCTACGACCCTAGAGAGAGACCGTTACGTAACAATCGCGATATAGTCTATGTTGATGTGCTATTCGTCTTGTTCGCTTTGTTTGAGCTGGTAATTGATTAATAAGTATTTATTTATTTAATTAATTCACCTATTTACTTGTTCATCTATCAATGACTTATCGGTTGTATGATTGGTTAAGCTATTCTTAAACTCTTTATTTGTATTTCATATGGTATAGTTATACCAAAGGCTTCATGATTATGTAAATGTCTTAAGGGCAAAACGAATCAAGCTAGACTGTGTTATAAGAGTTGTTATGAAGCTCATGAAGACATAAAATGGCTGGTTTACAAAGCTTTTAGCACAAGATGCTTTTACTATCGTTTTGTGACGATCGGAACGTGCGGCAAACAGGTGACTGTGTTAATACGCACTTTTGGTAAATGGAGGGTTAATTAAATGAACGGATGAATTGCTTGGTTTGTAAATTGATTCTTCTCGGGCTCCTTCGTATGCCCACATAGCTTATCAGAAACACCATTGCAATGGTTTGATTTGCTGATAGACTAACAAGTCAGTAGCCCAATGACGACTGTGGGAAGACTCAAAAATAATCATTTTTTAAAATGTTAATGCAATTAGCATTTAATTCCAAAAGTGATATTTCTATTTTTTTATTTATATTTTGCTAGAATGACCGTCGGCAAGTTGTCAGTGGTTCGGCTTGGGTAGAATTGGTAAGCAACGTATATTTTTTTCTGGCTTCCATAGAGAATGTACAGCAGTGTCAACTACTATTTTACACTATTTAACTATTTTACTTAACCCACTGCCTACTGGAACCTAAGTGCCCCTGTATTAAGCCTATGAGAATGAGAGAATTCAATAGCCAACGGGTTAATTATTGTTCAGATTCATGAACTCCCCCGATGATTTGATGAGATCTACCTAGGCACCATCATAATCTGTTATAGTTTATTGGTTCCGTAAAGTATAATTTCTATTGTTAATAAAGGATGAATACTATTTGTTAACTTTGTTTAATTTTAATAATACTAATACTAATACTATTTCGTTCTGGTATAGCGCATTATTACAACGTCCTTATATGCGCTTCCAAAGAGCTTTGGGAATTATTACCCTAGGTTCAATAGCTTTAGCTCCAGCGGCCGTTATCAGCGCAAGGTGTATTTCAAGGAATTATCCTACCAGGTACCCCCTTTTACCTTACCTGGGTGGAGTGACACTTGTAGACTAGCGTCTTGCCAAAAGACACTAGTTTTGTGATAGAGATTCGAACCCATTACCTTATGGTTTATAGTCTGGAGACTTATCCACTGGACCACAACACCTCTACGCTTTGTTCAAACTTAATCTATGATGTTTCATCTATAGATGTGGAAGGATCCACGCCTTTCATGGAATGAGACCGAGTATGACGGGATTCAGTATCTTAACCTCGACCCGGAAACTATCTGGATGCCACGGGTCATCATGCAGAATTCGTAAGTGTGGACTCCTCAGTGGCGGATCCAGGGGGGGGGGGGGGGGGGGGGGGGCCGGGGGCCCGGCCCCCCCCCCCCCCTTGAGAAAAAAAAATCATGTAAAATCACGTGATTTTTACGATTTTGGGGGGTTGGGCCCCCCCCCTGGCGCTCAAGGGGGGGGGGGGGGGTGCAAATTGAATTTTTTTTGAGGATCAAAAAAAAAAAATGTGCTCACTACCCCCCCCCCCCCCCCCCCCCCCCCCCCCCCCCCCCCCCCCCCCCCCCCCCCCGCCCCCACTGAGCGACTTTTCGGCCGGCGCGAATTTCAAATTTTCGGGAGCAAAAAAAAAAAAAAAGTTGGGCCCCCTCCCCTAAGAAATCCTGGATCCGCGCCTGGGACTCCTTCAAAACAATCACATTATCACACAGGTAAGGGATTCGAATCCCTGTCACAGATATAAAACCAAACAAACAAACACTAACAATCAGCCAAATATGATATTGGAACATTTATAGAACCTATGTTCTAATTATGTTCTTGTAATGTTCGCATAATTCAAAAGGCTAAGCACAGTCAAGCCTACTCCTATATTATTAAGGTCTTTTTGCCTTAATATGTTGATTTTCTGAAACGTACGTCTGTGTTATCGTATGTTTCACAAACAGCCTACATTCCTTCAGTATTTCAACAATGTTCGTAGGAATGACCACAACCAAATGGAACTTCATCTTTATTCAAATTTATCTCTTTGAAATAACTCAACTCGACCTATGACTAATATTTATCTCTGTCATGTGGAAGACGTTCTATACGGATTTAATGACCACACAACACTTTTGTTGAAATCAATTATGCTTATATAGTTAGTGGCCTAAAAATGATGTACATTATCATGATTATAATAATGTCCTCTATCCGACTAGACACCGTATCGCACTAAATCATATTTTTTATTTTAAACCCAGTGCCATGGAATCGTTGGAAGACCCGTTTGCCATGCATCACAGCTACGCCATCATCTTCTCTGACGGGTACATCCGGGTCACCGTACCAGCTCGTTTCGTCACCTTCTGTCTCACCAACGTGGTCAACTTCCCCTTCGACAACCAGACCTGCACGGTGACCGTCAGCAGCCCGAGCATGCCCGGTGCTTCGTTCACGCCGCGGAACCTGGCGTCGAAGATGGGCGACGTTCCGAGCAACCAGTGGGAAGTGGGACTAGGCGACGTCTATGAGACAGTCCACATGGATCCCCGAATCAACATGAACTACTCCAAGATTCACTTTGAGATCACGCTGACACGGAAGTCGTATTACTTCGTCATTAACCTCATGTTGCCGTCGTCCCTGATCAATGCAATGTCGCTAGTTGCGTTCTGGGTTCCCCTGGACTCGGGGGAAAAACTCTCGACAGCAGTGTCGCTTCTCCTCGGCGTGGTCGTCTTCCAGATTGTCGTCACAGACATGCTTCCTGTCAGTGATGGCGACATGCCCTTGCTCGCCCGCTACATTTTCGTCAACTTTCTTGTGTCATGCGGATGCCTCCTCAGTTGCATAATAAACTTCAACATCTACAAAAGCGCGCGAAAGATACGCGGCCGTTTCTGGCGCGCTTTCTGGTTTGGTTTCCTGGCAAAGATCGTCTGCGTACGAAACGACTTCGGCAAAAAAGAAAAAGAAACTGTTGCGAATAGTCAACCAAAACCTGGGGAAATCGGCTCCGGGCAATTGATTTGGCGATACAGACATGGGAGGCAAACACCAAACGGTAGTATCCATAGCAACCGGTCCAGCCCTCCTCCAAGTAGACCATCATCCATTGATGGAGACAGGCATCCCTCTTCAAACGGCATTTCATCAGGCGCAGGAAAGGAACAAGAAAAGGATAAAGTAAAGGAGGTTTGTACATTTTATTCCTTCCTTGTTTTTTTTTTTTAAGTACTCACCCTTATTGAAAGTGTGTAAATGATCCTTATTTTATATTATACTTACTTTTGGAACTGTTCCTACTATATTAATACAAAAAAAGAGAAAGGACGTACTACGGTTCACATTGTTCAATATGGAGGGGTCTTTTCTTTTCAATACAAAAGACGTCGGTATAGACCTTCAGTTTTGTGAATTTTCTTTATTAATCACAGACTTTTTTGTCACTTTTACATTATTCAAGTAAGGACAAAAAATGACAGAAAACATCATTATACTTGGTAAAACACTGTCAAAGAGAAAAGGAAGTGGGGCTCAATTGTAGAAGAAAAAATTCGGCAGGTCACAAATCAATATTCACTTACTTTTTAAGCAATCCTAAATCCAAAATATTATTTGGTTTTTAGAAAATAAGTTTTACTTTAACTTGGTGCTGCCTTTTTAAATACATTTAAAAGCCAACTTATCTTTCAACCGTTGCCCGAGTTCGCTCAATATTCCTTTTTTTATAAATCATTTTACAGGAAAGGACGGAAATGGAGGTCATTGCCGAGATCGTCAACCGCCTCATCTTCATCATGTTCTTCATCCTGTATTTAAGTTTTCTTATATATTGGTTTGTGATGCAGAATTTCCCCTCGTCGCCTATTTGGACTTGAAAACAAAACGTTTATGTCAATTGTTGTGATATTATGAAGCAATGTTTTTCACACCTATGCTGCTTGGGTAATGTGGAAATGGAGTAACAATCATGGAGTGAAATAGCAAAATGCTATTTTAATTATGTTTTTAAAAAATCAGGAGGTTTGTGTATAGTAGAATGATTCTAATAATAATGATAATAATAATGATAATGATAATAATAATAATTCATGTATCGAGAAGAATAAAAAGAAGGAGGATGAGGAGGAGGAGAAGAAGAAGAAGAAGAAGAAGAAGAAGAAGAGAAAGATATAGAGAGGGGGAGGATACTAGAGGTAGAGAAGGGAAGATGAAACAGAGATGGAAGATCGAGTAAGAGAGATAGAGAGAGAGAGAGGGAGGGCTTAAAATATTATATACATGTATAGTCATCCGGTTATAATTTTATCATGAGTGAGGGGGGACATCAGGTGACGAGTTGGAGAAAGTATATAGATGCGATTGAGCGATAATAGTCATGGTTAATTTAAAATAAGATAATGTTGTATGCTCATCCTTTATAATATCTCTCTAACATATACCAACTTTTTTTTAATCGTCTTATTTGATCAATTTGATCAAATGATTTTATTTCTCATGCAAAACATAATACATTGAATAATTAAATGAATAATTAGATACAATGCAGAAAAAATATGTAATGAAAAAAAAAAAATATAGTAGAAATAGCACGAGAAGAGAGGAACTTACTAGAAGCATTGTTGAAGTGTTAGTTCCTCAGATGCTGTTTTACAATATAACATGAGTTTATAATATGGCCCTCGATATTTGTTACCTGAACTTTACCGTTGAGATACATTAAAATGTACCACAAGGTAGTCTCAGCGATTATCGTGATCTTGCTTTCTCCCTTTTCCAATCGGCTTGTTGTTTATTAACACCTCTCTAGCTCTCAACAGGACAAGTGATATACATGTCTGATACCATAGCTACGATTGTGTCATTATCTTGTATAATATTTTTATGAACATTATGCCCAATCTTTGGATATAGATGAATACTATGTTTACTTTAAGTGTTATATGTATATAAGTTATCGTTCCAAATACATTTTGGTTTTGTTGTATTAGCGCTTTGATCAGTTTTGTTGTAAAAGCGCTTAATATAATAAGAAGTTATTATTATTATCATTGTTGTCATTAACCTTGTTATTTATAAATGAATTGAAGCATGATACACATCACCACCACCACAAACATCACCACTTTCATTATCATCATTCGTTGTCACCATCGGTCTCTTCCTTCTATTATGCCTACACATTTATGTCTTTCATTTTACCCTTCTTTCCTTCCTTTTTTCTTCCTCCCTCGACCACTCAATCTCTCTTTATCTCTTACACTGTCTAGTTTCGCCTTATGAACTATCAATAATAACTATTCGATTCACGTTTAAAATGTACTACTATATGGCTACTAAAGTTACCTTTTAATTCACCCTGTTCGTATCAAAATATACATATACTGGTGCAATATATACATACAAATCATCTTGTAAAAAAGTATGCTATGTACAATCTTTAGAAATATACACGACGAAGAAGTACATAAATGAAAGTTACTGGATATTGAAATAAAAAAACAAAGGCATCTAACATTTCGAATGAAATTATGACTATCATTGGTAGTTATTATACATCAATTCCTTGCTTTTACTCGCTGCACAACACTTTTAGTTTTTTTGTCGACGATAATACAGAATGGGGATCAACCGAGCAGTAAACAATTACTTTAGTACTATGTCCCTTGAATATCATAGCATGTGCAAGTACATCCGTATTTTTAACATTAAGGGGTTATTTTTCAAGTAGCCCCCTGTCTATTATGTATTTATGTATCTTTGTGTACATTATTTATACCATTTAAATCTAACTGTTTGTATATTTATTTGTATTTAAAATCTAACAAGTTTTGGTTGCAATAAAGAAACAAAATATGCATCGCAAACAATGTCGCCAGCGGTTATTTGTCATACTTTCTTATCGCCCACTTCGGTCGAATATTGTGGCCTTTCCTTCCCAAATGTGCCGACAAAACCTTTTATATTTCTAGGGGCACTTTCAACCACTCCCACCCCAAAGATAGAACTTTCAATATATTAATTATGACATCCGAATGATCGTAAAGTTCCCGTTATCATTGTTAGGTTTGACTGAGATCTCTATTGTACTGTATAATTTCTTGACTTGGTTTTTTGTTTATCATTATAATCAATATAACATGATGTAGATATCAATGATGAAGGCTTCATCAGGTATAACAATGTAAGGCCTTTATTGGTAGACATGGTGTCATTATCGGCACACATCCTTGAAATTCACAATCTAGACTTATATCACCTCTTGAATGAAAGCCTATCTGCACTAGTTTGACCAGGAGGGATTAGACCTCCATGCGTGGTCACTGGCAGGTGGTTATCTCATCAAATCAGCTCTCAATTAACATGAGAACAAGAGGACCATGGGGGATCAACAGGTACCGCTTATGCATTGTTGGGAAATATTGGCTATGAAAGAGGACGCAGGTATTGCAGTCCTGCTTAAAGGAAACCTTACCCCAAATAATAAATCAATGTATGCTGAAATATGAGATGTTTTCCTTTCTTTTGATGCCCAATATTCCTTAATATTCCTTGATATAAATGAAAATATTCTTGACATGATGTAATGCTTTTTAGCATGACATGGGCGCAGCCATTTTCTTGATAATGCGTTACATATACATAGTACGTCACGTTATCCAAAAAATGTCAATGCCCATGTCGTGCTGAGAAACTGTACATTATGCTAAGAATATCTTGCTTTATACCTCTCTCATACACTTTAATTGGTTGGGAATCTCGTAGATTAATAGGCAAGTTAGAATAGCGAGTTATTTCTTGGGGTGTGGTTTCCTGTAAAAATATCCCATCTACACAATGTCCAAACTTTCAGATGCATACATATATATTTTCAGAACAGCTCATGCCCCTTCCCCTCCCGCTGAATGTCACTATCTTGGATACGCCTTTGATTTTCTGCTCTCAGTGGGAGGTTTCTTCGACAGTCTTGGGTTTTCTAGACTTCTTCTTTGGACGATAAGGGAAGTTCTGCTCGTATTTCTTTAGACGGTATTCGTAGTAGATAATGCCAGCCCCGACGAGCGCCATGAGACCGCCTAGAAAGCAGGCCCAGAGCGCCGCCCTCTCGTCCTTAGAGAGGTAACGAAAATCTGCAAGGAAGAAAGATACAGTTATCAACACAATTATTCATATACCTTACCAAGTTTTGTTAAAAAGATTACGTGAAAATTGATTCGTCTCGATTTATGTTTCTTGATGATGTGACATTGATATTACCTTAAAGACCGTCACCACTACTGGGCCAGAAGGGATTAGACCACACAGAGAGCCATCGAGGTCACTGTGACAGGTGGCTATCTCATTAACTCAGCTCTCATTTAACATAAGAAAAAGAGGATCATGGGGGACCAACAGGCACCGATTGGGGAAGTTTTCTATATAGAGGGAGCAAGTAGCTACAAGTATGGCAGTGTGCCTTTAAAGCTTATCTGCCATAGTTTACAGGAGGGATTAGAGCGCCCTGCAAGGTCACTGGACAGGTGGTTATCTCATCAACTCAGCTCTCAGTTTACATAAGAAAAAGAGGATCATGGGGGACCAATGGTCACCGATTAGGCATTGTTTGTTATATAGAGGGCGCAAGTAGCTACAAGTAGTGCAGTGGGCCTTTAAAGTATTCAACACAGGCCATCCTTCAAGCAGTCCATCTTTCATTCTCGATTTATGAAAAGCACAACAAAAACACATCCAATTTACAAGGGGCATAAATAATTTCGTTGGTAACTGTAGATAGAAAGATACTAATAGATGAACTTGGAAAACATAATAAGATTAGAACTCGTTGAATCAGTTTACCCGACTCTCCCACGTAGGGACAACTTTCTACATTTACAAAACAACCGATCAAAGGTTTCATGTTATTCCGACCCAAAATAACAGTCAGGAGAGTGTCGCTTCACTATCTTATAAAAGAGCGTCCATAGTCTGTGAGGTATAGTGGTCTTGTGGACTAGCAATCGCATATTAGTGGGAGGAAATGGTTTCGATACCCATGCAGCTAATGCGCTCTCTCATTTATTTCAAAGTAACGTGCCAACGTGGATCTGAGGCCATACTCCCCTTTTTCCCTCCAAAAAACTAAACAACATATATATATATATATATATATATATATATATATATATATATATATATATAATGGAATGGATGTCATTTGCACCAAACAACAACAATAACAATCACAACAACAATAACATTGCTACTTACTGAGGACCTGACCACCTGCGTTTGGTCCGATGAATACTGTGTCGTTCATTGACTCTGTTGTCTGCGATAACGCTTTTTCCACCAGGAGAGCGAGGGAAGATAGCAAAGTAGCTGTAACGACTTGAAGTATTGACGCCATCGTGATCTAACGTGTGAGAAAATGAAAACAAAATGGAAAGCAAACATTGATTATAATGGGGGCAATAGATATAAAAGAGAATGCAGGTGAATCATTTTATTTAAAGTTTATATATCGAGAAATGGAAACTAAGAGTCAAAATTGAATAATCACAATATACACCGATAGTTTTGTCAGTCACCATTACTGGAGGCCATCAAGTAGGCCTATCTATATTATTAATACGCAAAATCGCCGCGGGGGGTCCAAAACGGGGCAAAACGGTTCCTCAAAAACGCCTTTCCCCGACCCCGCTCGCCTCCGCCGTGGCGCGGGAACGGTGGCACAATTCCACGAGGCCTGTCTCCCGTAACCCGCGTGCCACCTCGACCCCGCGATCGACGTCCATGCCGTTAAACGCGGTTTCGGGGTGCCGGGGAGGACGGGCGGACGAGAGCACGGCGGGCGTCGTGGATTGCGAGGAGGCGACGAACCCGCGAGAGCGAGTTGACAAGGCGTGCACCCGCCCTCTGTCTAATTATCAAAGAGAGACGAAGAGACACACGATGGACGAGAATCCACTCGCGTCAACGGGTGTAGCAAGTCTCATTGTAAAGGCTGCGGCGTATCTTGAGTAAGGCCTCTTGCTATAGGATTCGCTTTGTAGCGTGTAAGAGAAATACACATTAACAGATGACTCACGCGGGTGAGGGGGTGTAAGAAATGCACGCTCTCACGGGTAGGGCTTACCCGTGTTATGCGTCTTTCTATAGGATATGCTTTGTAGGCCAGGCGCCCATAGTATACGTGTATTTCACGCTCACCGTCACACACGTACACACACTCGATTCGAGTCGTGGCGATTGCGACAATTGGCGCAAACCATGGACCTATTTTCGCGTAAAATCTTTACTCTGAAAATAATTATACAAATTCTGTGATCTATGCCAACATATTCATAGTCCAAGCTTCTGTTTTATTGGTCTTTTCATGAAAACTACCTCGAAATAACAACAATAATAACGCAAATAGATCTGTGATAGTACGCCTGACCAATCTGCGATTCATGCACACACACAGAGCAAACAGGATTTCAAATGCCTTCCAGCCCCCAACTCAGGCGTGTCATCACGGCGCTCAAGCCATCGTTTTACGCTGCGCCGCAGTTACTGCACTACACTGTATAGATTTGATTTCCGTATGTTTGATTTCGTTTAGCGTTGGTTATTTGAAACTTTTGAAATCGCCGCGGGGGGTCCAAAACGGGGCAAAACGGTTCCTCAAAAACGCCTTTCCCCGACCCCGCTCGCCTCCGCCGTGGCGCGGGAACGGTGGCACAATTCCACGAGGCCTGTCTCCCGTAACCCGCGTGCCACCTCGACCCCGCGATCGACGTCCATGCCGTTAAACGCGGTTTCGGGGTGCCGGGGAGGACGGGCGGACGAGAGCACGGCGGGCGTCGTGGATTGCGAGGAGGCGACGAACCCGCGAGAGCGAGTTGACAAGGCGTGCACCCGCCCTCTGTCTAATTATCAAAGAGAGACGAAGAGACACACGATGGACGAGAATCCACTCGCGTCAACGGGTGTAGCAAGTCTCATTGTAAAGGCTGCGGCGTATCTTGAGTAAGGCCTCTTGCTATAGGATTCGCTTTGTAGCGTGTAAGAGAAATACACATTAACAGATGACTCACGCGGGTGAGGGGGTGTAAGAAATGCACGCTCTCACGGGTAGGGCTTACCCGTGTTATGCGTCTTTCTATAGGATATGCTTTGTAGGCCAGGCGCCCATAGTATACGTGTATTTCACGCTCACCGTCACACACGTACACACACTCGATTCGAGTCGTGGCGATTGCGACAATTGGCGCAAACCATGGACCTATTTTCGCGTAAAATCTTTACTCTGAAAATAATTATACAAATTCTGTGATCTATGCCAACATATTCATAGTCCAAGCTTCTGTTTTATTGGTCTTTTCATGAAAACTACCTCGAAATAACAACAATAATAACGCAAATAGATCTGTGATAGTACGCCTGACCAATCTGCGATTCATGCACACACACAGAGCAAACAGGATTTCAAATGCCTTCCAGCCCCCAACTCAGGCGTGTCATCACGGCGCTCAAGCCATCGTTTTACGCTGCGCCGCAGTTACTGCACTACACTGTATAGATTTGATTTCCGTATGTTTGATTTCGTTTAGCGTTGGTTATTTGAAACTTTTGAACTCCGAAAGACTGTAAATATGTTAAATAGACTCTTGATGTTGGATTTCTTTCCTACTGACCTGTTAATGAAAGCATGAGGGATAAACAAAAAAAATAAGGACTGCTCTGTAATTGGATGGTGATGGAAATTATCACTCCCTCGATTTCGTTCAAATACTGGCCCTTCTATTACCCCCTCGGCTTTGCTTCGGGTGATAGAAGGACCGGTATGAACTCCACCTTGGAAATGATAATTTCATCCTCATGAGCAGTCAATATTTGTATATTTTCACTGAGACCTCTGGGACCTCTCTGAAGTTCTTTGTATCATCCATGCAAAATATCATTTTGTTGATAATTTTGTTTAATAGAACATTCAGTTTTAATAATGTATGTTAAGCCAAGTTAAACAATTATTGTTACTCATGTTTTGATTTGGGACAAGTTCTAATTAGAGATGAGTGAAAATATGAAAAATGAGAATGGGAGGATTGAGAACAGTATTCGTAAGAAACTGGACGGGAAATGGATAATGAGAATAAGGATATATATGGGAATGAATGAAAAACAATAATCATAAATAATGAAAGTGAAAACGAAAGTTAAAGCGTAAAATAGTTTGCATCAGTTTGTTTACAAATTACTTATTTAATTTTTTATTTCAATCTTCAAGTTTTATTATATGTTACAAATAAAAAAAAACATTTCAAAATGATATATGAAACAGCAAACAAAAGGTTAATATTCTATCGAATTAAATATTAATAACAAGAGTAGAAAAAGAATAAAATGATAAAAAGTAGGCCTATACCAAGAGGGAAAATGAAATTGAAAATAAAAGGGGGAACAAAAACAGAAAAACAAACATGAAAATTTAAAAAATCGATAGCACATTATTAACAACCACCCACCCCCTAGAATCCCGTGGATTTTCCACGGGTCCTCCTAGTGCTAATTAATAGTCAATATCCCCACTTTAGTTCAAGAACGGCCATGCATCTGTAAGATTACATACGACATCAGATTATCTCTCGTTAGGCTCTTAGATACCCCCTGGTTATGGAACCCCAGTCGGTCTATAACGCTAAAGATATCACAATTTGGGGCGTTTCCGCGCTGGAGCTATATTAGTTGGCGTACACCTCGCCAAGTATTGTCCGCCATTATAATAATACGCTTCCAAATCTACGATGGTGTCTACCACCTATACCTGTCCAAGCTAATGTCATAGTTAGAAAACGGTACCCCTTGAATCGTGCATGATCATGATGTGTTATTTGATGAACAGTGATACCTTGCAATAGTGGACAACTTTTGGCAAGTGCGTTGCAATTAAGGGAACATGAATAGTATAGATCTCTAAAACAGTACAAAACACAATGTGTGATATCTAGCCAATATTGGGAATTTCAAATGTCTCGAATCCCGTTAGTTTAACCATCGACTCTTGTCGTCATGAAGATTAATACTGACATACATCTAAAGTACCGTTGTGTGTGTATTTTTTTTTCCACAGATGTGTATCAATCATATATGATTATTTACGTCTGGGGACCGACCTTTAACGTCACCATCCGAAAAACCTGACCAAGTTTCAGTTTATGTATGCGTGACACATAGCTGACCATGTGAACGAACCGCTAAACCAACTGAAAGAAGTCTACACTTAATATACCTTGTTAGCTAAAGCATTTGTACATGCATATACTGTACATAATTATACATGGTGTCCGTGCACGTTAGAACATAATATTTGCGATATTATACCACAGTACTCTTGCACTCACTCTTGGACGTGTAAGGATAGACCGGTACATTTCATATTAATTTTCATTTTCCGTCTTCTATACATGTACTCACCCTTTTCGTTCTCACGTATACCGGTTTAATACTGAAGTAGACGTATACCGAAAATAATATTTAGGATGTAAATATATATGTATTTCCTTGAGACACAGGTTTACACAGTACACAAACAGCGCTCATACCACTGCAGACTGTATACACACTGTACAAATACGCCACGGCGGTTATACTCCTAATAAACGCACTCAATCGTATCAAAGTGAATGGCGCCTTGAACAAAGGAGGGTGACGCACTGCCATTCGTTTATTGTTTGTTGGTCTGTTTTATCTATTTCAATACGGTTATAAAAAAAAACCTGCTTTTGTGGCTGTTTTCAGCAAGTCCTTATACAAAAGAAGACAACACTACAAAAGTAACATATTAATAACAAAATAATTTCAAAGGATAAATATATAGTTGCCCCTGCAGCAGGTTTTGATGGACTGATTCGTCAGCTTAATTGGACCTATAGGTCCTTCAATCTTAGTGATGGAAGCATACCAACATTTTGTCCTTTTCTATCTTCTATGCATTTTCCAGTACAATTCTTCCCCCCTTTCATCTTTTCTTCTATCATTCTCTATATATGGATGCATTTTTAAATATTTTTTATTTTTATTTTTTATAAATAAATCTTTTGCGTTACTCTTTCTTTAAAAAAATCTTTCTATCACCTTTCCTTCTATCACTCCTTCTCATTCTTTGCTTTTTATTGTTTGTTTTTTCTTCACTTTTATCTCTTATTTACGATGTTCATATCGGTCCTAATTATGTTATTGTCTGTTTTACCATAGTTCTATAAAATCTCCTCAAGGGTTATGTTTCTTTAAGTTTTTCCCTTTAGGCCTATTAATCTTTCATTATATCTTTATTATCTTCTTTTATATTCTCTTTATAATTATCTTTCCGTATGCTATTCGTTGTTTCAAGTCTTTCATGATAGTACATGTAATTCTACACTTCTCTGTATCTCGTATAATATTACTACTTCTTTCACATTTTTTATCCTTTCCTAAGCATTTTCTTCTTGCTCTCTCTCTTCGCTCACGTTATTTGATCAATCGCCCTCATCTCAATTTATTTATTTAAATACGGTTATAAAAAAAACCCTGCTTTTGTGGCTGTTTTCAGCAAAAAGAAGACAACACTGCAAAAGTAACATATTAAAAAAAAAAAAAAATAATTGAGGGGGGGGGGGGGGGTAACATCCCCCCTCCCCCTATCGGCGTACGCGCCTGCCTATATAGGCCTGCCATCAGCTAATTCATTATGTGTTAATATACAAATAATACACAGCAGTGAGGGCCGCTTAGTAAGAATTACCCACACAACGTACCTTTTGGAAAAGTCTAACACTTGTTAGACTTTTTCAAAGGTTCCGAGTGTGGGTTATTATACTAATGCCCGAACAAAATGATGTGTATTATTTGTTTTATAAAATTATAACGTGGATCCTTGTTATTTGATCAATCGCCCTCATCTCAAACTCAAAGGTCCAAATTTACAAAGGAGGTTTAAATCTAACCCATGGTTTAAATTCTCGTTTACTAAGAGCAAATTGAGGCGTACCTTGCCTTGCGCGCGTCTAATATTAAACCTCTGACTTGTGTCGCGCTTATTTTGCGCTAATTTTAGCTAGATGTGGTAATGACCGGTCATTACCCAAATTACGCGTTAGGCAAAATAAATGCCTGGTCACGTGTACACGCTTTCAACCAATCATTTGATTGGGATCTACGTCATCATCTTATAATTGCATTTAATTGACTCATGATAACTTTTCATGATTATACTATAATAGCAAATAGTCGTGAACTATTCCAAAAGTCATAACCAATATCCATCCCCTCGATTGCCTGTCATAACCATGCAGTTACAACAAACATGGGATTCTGTCTGTCTGGATGTATAGAAACAGTCATTAGCAGTGGAATCGGCCACTTCACCTAGTTGTAGCGGGGAGCGGGGATTCCCCATGGCCAACGCACATATGACGCGGCGCTTATTGGATGCAAATCTATATGCCGTGTGTACGTTATAGCTACGTTTACGCTTGATGCTAGACCGAAAGCTTCATGCAGTCTCTGATATCGACGGTGGTTCCGCTGAGATTGCATCTGGCTCCACTGACCGCCTCTGGGGAATGTCAGTTTTATTAAAGAAATGACCCATATCAGACGGTTATTTCTGTCTAGCTTGATGCTTGCCCTTACTGCTGGTAAATCGATCTTTGGGCCGCTGAAGTTTGGCTGATGCGGTGTTTTTCTAGACTTGACCCACGACGTGGAAGAACGAATCCATTGTTGGTAATTGTATACATGTAGCATACGTATGTGTTTTGTCACGTTGAAAAGAAAAGAGGGATAGATCTATATTTGACTTCGGACATTTCATTTGTTTTTGTCGGAGCACTTATACTACCAAACTAGCTGCACTGCTGAGCCGAGGCTAAGAATAAAGAGACCGTGGCGATCGATGCCAGGCCAATTAAGGGCAAAGCAATTAGTGAGCGATATCTGTGCGTTTTACAACTGGTTAAATTAAAGGCAGTTGTAGCATAAACTAGTACGTATAGAATATAATGTACATTCATGGAGAAGGACACACCCCATTGGCTTAGAGTTAGATTGTAACTTGAGGCTACATTTGTAAATCTGTGCAAATATCTGAACGTCAACATGTTTACATGTAGATAGGCTTGTAATTGTACTCAGCTGTTGTAACAATTAAGACACATCTACCTCTGACTTAGCCTTTTGACAAGGCCTCGTTGACTCTGGCTAAGCGGCTGAGATGAGTCTAGATACCCGGAGTGAACGCGCGACCGAATGACGAATGTCATGAGGCCTTTTGGAAAGTGGGTTTCACTGCTCCGCATGAATTATTCATAGATAAATATTAGTAGGCTTATGCCAATACGCCTACTTTGGATTCATTGACCAATCAGAACGGCGATCTCCCAGTTGGCTTCGTTCGTGATTCGTTCCATGTAGAGGTCAGTGGTCAGTGGTCTTACTATTAGCACGTACGTATAGTAGGCATGTAGGTCCATGTTCGCACTACGTAGAGTTTACTGTGTGTGTGTGTGTGTGTGCGATGGATACTATATGCTGACGTCGTGCTAGGATACGTTCGCTGATTGGACACTACGTTTTCTGAAGCGAGTTCCAGTCGGAAACAAGGGTTAACATAAGAAATCCAAACCAGATTGATAAAGGCCACAGGTCTGGACAATTCGCACTGGCGTTCATTCAGGTTTTCGCGATTAGTCTCTTTTTAGTCGCTCGGCGTCTACCAGGCATGTGGCCTTGTTTAAAGGCTACCTCTGACTCGACTCTGAGTCTGAAGAGTCATGATGTAAAATAAAGCAGATAGAACATGCTAATTAATTGGCATTCCTATCGGAAGTTGGATATTTGTGGAAGTCTTTATGTTATGATGTTTAAGTTTAAGGCAAATTTATATTCTGCTTTCAATTAAGTGTTAAGGATCGAGGTTATATTTGATGTTCTTTCACTTGGAAAATTCCTTTTTCGTAGTATAATGTATCCTGCATAGCTGAATCAGGTGTTTATTTCAGTTATACGCTAGATTGCGTAATGACATTGGTTTTTATACAATGTATAATTATGAACAAATACATGCATATTGAATATGTATGTGAACAATGTCACTGAACTGTTTGAATCTGTAATGTAATTGATTTATCACTGCCTTTTTTCTGTATCTTTACAGGGTTTTTTGTTTACGACACGGAATAAACCTTGTAGACCTTAATCTGCTGTCTATGTCTCATCATTGATACTATCCGGCCCCTAGCAAGGTCCAACCCCCACCCACGACACCAAGATGAGAGCAGATGAGCATATGGGCAAATTAAGAATTTTTTTATGTGACTATATGGTTCTCTTGTTAATTCACAATTTTTAGACGTTGATTAATTTGCCTCATCATTGAAGGAACATTGCCAATACTCGATAGTATTCTCAAAGCTGAGTGCAGATCGATGGCCAGATGAGAAACGAACAAAAGGAAATAGATGTATGATGTAGCTCAGAATGTCCATGTCATGATGATTACGATTAGACTCTACGTCAATTTAGACTTTACAGAGAGATGAAGCAGAATTAAATAAGAGTTAAGGAGTGGGAGACACCATGGAGGATAATTGTATCGTGATTTATGATAGTGAGGATGAGGGATCCCCTTTAACTGAATCCAAAAGGGACAGCGTATCCTCAGACACTGGCTGTGTCGACCCTCAAGATATTCCCTCAAACTCGGCCAAGGATTTGCAGGATAATGCCTCAAACTCTGATTCAGATTTACCAGATATTTGGGGCAGTGACAACGAAAGCCATAAGGATGATGATGTCGGCAGAGATTTGCCATCCACAAGCACTGGGAGGGTCACAGCGTCACGATGTGGGAAAAGGCATATTGCAATAAAGCAGGAATATACCTCACTGCCACCAGCGGGGAAAGGTAGTGCAGTTGATTCTGAGTCTGAAGTTGAGGAAGAGGAACAATTCGGTGGTATTGGAGAGAACAGTTCTGATGGTGATTATAATGATGAAGAACAGTTTCAAAATCAAATACATCAGAATGAGACAGGAAATATTAGTGGAGAGGTTAGTGATCATGGTGATGCAAGTGACAGCAGTGGCGACGTAATGACCCTGGGAGTTTTTTTGAAGGAATCTCAGTCTTACAGTCAAGTAGAGCCTGTAGAATGCAAGTTTGAGGATAGGCCTTGGGACTTACATGTAGAAGACTGCGGCAGCCCAGATGCTGTTCAATCTCGGGAGTCACCGTTGCCTCCGGTTTCATCACCCGGATCGGCCAGTTCCATTCCATCTCGAGAATCGCCGTTGCCTCAGGTTTCATCACCCGTATCGGCCAGTTCCGTTCCATCTCAGGAATCGCCGCTGCCTCAGGTTTCATCACCCGTATCGGCCAGTTCCATTCCATCTCGAGAATCGCCGTTGCCTCAGGTTTCATCACCCGTATCGGCCAGTTCCGTTCCATCTCGGGAATCGCCGCTGCCTCAGGTTTCATCACCCGTATCGGCCAGTTCCGTTCCGTCTCGGGAATCGCCGTTGCCTCAGGTTTCATCACCCGGATCAGCCAGTTCCATTCCGTCTCGGGAATCGCCGTTGCCTCGGGTTTCATCACCCGGATCGGCCAGTTCCGTTCCGTCTCGGGAATCGCCGTTGCCTCGGGTTTCATCACCAGGATCGGCCAGTTCCGTTCCGTCTCGGGAAACGCCGTTGCCTCAGGTTTCATCACCCGGATCGGCCAGTTCCGTTCCGTCTCGGGAATCGCCGTTGCCTCAGGATCACATTTCATCAGGTGTTGTCAGATCCAGCGACTGTGAAGCTGATGATGCCGTTAATTCAGACGCCTCATCTACAAGTGGCACAGGTCTTCATCCTCCAGGTATGACTCTTGTTGATTTCACTTTACAATTGGGTTGGATTATTAATCTATAAAATTTTATATTATAACAAAGTTCACCAGATGAAGACAAAATCCAAACTGTGTTTCATGGAGGTTAAGCTTCTACCACCAACCTTAACGTACATGTAGGCAAGCTTTCGTCCACCACAGTGAACTTTTTATAAATCACACAATTTCCTTGTTTTCTGCTGCCTCATGTTTACTAGAGCGAAGATTTAGTGAAGGATTAATCTTTTTTTATCCAGATGGATTCGATCTTTCACCTTTCTTGACCAGTGCCTCTCAAACTCAATAATGTGGACATCATCCCATAGAATTTTAAAAGAGCAAAAAAGAATCCTCAGATTGAGCATTCCATCTCACTCTGTTATTAAAGGTAATACAAAGTTTTGGTATAGGGTCATGAATTTTGTTCAAATTAACATATTGGAAGCATATGCAATTCTACAATATTCAGTGATCGTTGTCGCGGTTGAAATCGAGTCTTAAGTTATGAAATTGTAAATAATAAATTCTTTAAGTTGTATAGCTCCCTCTCTAGGTCAAGATATTAATTAAGCTATAAAACAATGTTTCTTGACTAAAATCGACCGATTAACTACTCCCGTTTGAAAATTGTATATCACAACTACATATTTTGAGATTTTCATGGTCGCAGCTACCATTGTACGGCCGTAGGCGCTACCAGTATTTGAAATTTACCAAAATTTACCGGGAGCACCGGTAAATTTTTATATTCAATTTTTCTCGAAAGCAGAAGTGTTTTAGGGGCTAATTTTGTTATTGTTTATAATACATTCACAGGGGCATCCAAATATATCAAAATTGTGAAGAATCACATCCACCCAATTTTCAAAATTTCCCAAAACTTTGTATTACCTTTAACAGATCACTGGATTGATGGGATGATGAAAAAAAAGGATTATTCCTTCATTGAATGACTATGTCATTGTCACTTATCTTTGTTCCAGCGATCTTGAGTTTGAAATGCACTTCTGGTCAAGAAAGGTGAAAGAATCCATGTAGATAAAGAGGATTAATTCTTCAATGAAAATCATTGTCACCTACATTGTACAAGGTACATGTACATGGTACTGTATCTTCGCTCCAGTGATCTTGATTCAGCATAAATAAAGTGTTTGAATAATCACATGGCTTGAGAAAGTCCACAAGAGTAGACAAAAGCTTCTTACTATATTTTAAGGTTGGTAAAAGCTACATGCTATGATTACCCCAAAATGAATGTTTCTGTATCATATGTGGGTGTTGCTAGCACTCAAGAAAGCTATCTTAAAGGCTCTGGATTGCTAAATCTCGATAGCGTCTTTGGAGTCCGCCCCTGGCACCACCCAGAAAAGCTTGCGTTTACGTGCTCACAGTGTACTTTGTGCACACGTTGGCTTGCACCCCTCCCTTTTGGGGAAAAATCATGGATCCGCCACTGAGAAATTTATAGTTTTACCCATTTCCTCTGAATTAAGAGTCAATTTTTGCAGTTTAAAGTTGCTAGTCTGGTTCTGTGTGACAAGTTGTATTACTTTGATCTACAGGTCTGTTAAAATTTCTCTTAGATCAGAAATAGACTTAAAACAAGCCTCATTATTTCAGTACGGTATACAATTGTCATTACTTTAAATTTAAGTACCGTAGTAGATTTTCTTAGTCTGAAACAAAATTGAGGAATGCTTGAGTCGTTTCCGGCTTTCCAGCAATTTTACATTATTCTACTTCAGTTGTCTATGATTAAAGGGATCATTTAACAATGTTAAATCTGAGATACATGGCCCTACGTGTTATCAGTGTCTGTGATATGGTGTAATATTGATGCCCTAAAAAAATTGAGCTTCAAAATGATCAAGAAGTGCCTCAAAAAACTAAAAATCTTTGAGTGACCGGTTTTACCATACTTGTTTTCCCCAATAGACTGTAGTGTTATGAAAACCGTTAGGCAAATGTTTTTCAAAATTTGTAAATCCAATCATAAATATCTTGCTAATCAGACAAGCGATCGGCTTGTAAAAATCATGGGGTTCCTGACTGACCTAAAGGTTTGTAATTATGATTGCAGCATGAGCTAAATTCAGAATTTTGTTTCAGAATCTGAGACAAAGTTACCGGATCCCTTTAAGATAAGAATTTTCATGCAAATCAGCAAATGGCATCCCATGTTACAGACCTTGTAATTTTTGTGGAAATACATCTGGACTGTAAAGGAAATACTTTGAGAACCCATGTCCTAGGGGGTTATTTTTTATTTTATTATTATTATTATTTTATTTTATTTTTATTATTACCGGTATTATTATATATATATATATATATATATATTTTTTTTTTTTTTGGGGGGGGGGTAATTTACGGTCCTGTTACAGTTTAACGGCAAGTGTATAGGCTTACTGGGTATCATCATAGGTCATTTGGGTAATTAATTCTGAAAGTTACATGTCTTTCTTCTCTGACTTCTAATGAACAGGTGGTCCATTTCCCCAATTTCTTTTGCATCAAGCCCTTGACGACGATAGAATGGAACTTAAGCTCCACAGACTTCCTTTACCCCCAGGTAATTATACTACAAAGTCTACAATAATAAAGTACTCAGTGTGAAGAACTAAAGTTCACAATGCAGGCCTACATTTATGTTCCATTAGAGCTGATTTACAGTTTTGGTAATCCCTCAAAATCATTTCTTCCATTTCCTGGATTATAGATATACATGTACATGTACAATGTAGATACTCGCATTTACTAAGCTGCAGTGAAGTTTTTTTTTCCTCAAGTGAAATATTAAACAAATAAGAGGTAGCATATAATTCAGATACCATCCTGGAGAGTATTAGTTCAAACAACGGCGACCAGCACTACACACACGACATGTACACATACACAGTGTACATGTCCGTAAATAGGCTGAATCTTGAAAATAGTTATACAAATTTTGTTGCTTTGAAACATTTGTAGTAAACTTATGGTAAATATGATTAAAGTTGCTGGCATGAAAAGAAGCATCCAGAACACAAAAGACAACATATTTGATGATGTTTGTAAGTTAAAAGTTCTTTTTTGTGACATTTGAATTCATTTTAAATTCACATGAACATATGTTTTCTTCCATTCAATTTGACAACATGTTTGACATCTGTTCAAACAATACAATTTATACATAGGAATATAAATATAATTAAAGAACTTGTATTACAAGGAAGAAGGCGCGAATCCCGATAAGCAAAGCTTGCAATGTTTCAGGAGCAATCAGGGTAGAAGGGTCCTTATAGGGAAGTGTTCAGGCATTATCTAGCATTCCTTACAGATTTACAGATTTCACAGGAAATCATGGATAGAATGATCTTGTAAAAAACTAAAAAATATTTGTCTCATCTGTCTCATTTGTCTCATTTTATTTTTGCTACTAAAACTGTACATGAGTTTTAAAATTAACTGTACAATTTGAGCTTTTCAAATCATCAATGAGAGCTGTTTTCACAAGTCATAAAGGAATCGCACAAAAATGGTTATTGTTTTTCATAGCTTTACATTTACAAGTTTATGTCTGTTTTGAGCCAGAATGACATTAACAGTTTTGTATATAAATTAATGCCCTTCGGGCTAGGCATCTAGATGTCTTAATTTGTTAGGTTATATTCTAACCCTTTCATTATCATTTCAAAATGTTTAACATCGAAGTCTACTTGTATAGACAGTCAAACCTGCTTTAGTGACCACCTGTCTACAAAGACCACCTGTCTACAAAGACCACCTGTCTACAAAGGCCACATTTGTTGTTTCCCTTGAAAATGGTTTCTCATTGAATCATGTACTAAAGGAACCTGTCTACAAAGACCACCTGTCTACAAAGGCCACTTTTGTGTTTCCCTTGGGTGGTCGCTATAGACAGGTTTGACTGTAAAAGAATGATGGTACAAAATGAAACATTGTCCTTTCTTTCTTCAGGCTGCTTGTCAGATGATGGCGAAGATGAAATCGAAGATGAAATCAAGTCGGATTCCTCTCCAGAACCTGGGGATAAAAGGCCAAAGAAGAACCAATCGGCCATCAGAAAAAGCCGTAGAAAACCTCAAAGTAGAAATGATAGATCATCTACAGATGAAGAAGATGAAATCAAGTCGGATTCTTGTTCAGAACCTGTGGATAAAAGGCCAGAGAAGAACCAATCAGCCATCAGAAAAAGCCGTAGAAAACCTCACAGTAGAAATGATAGATCATCCACAGATGAAGAAGATGAAATCAAGTCGGATTCTTGTCCAGAACCTGTGGATAAAAGGCCAAAGAAGAACCAATCGGCCATCAGAAAAAGCAGTAGAAAACGTCACAGTAGAACTGATAGATCATCCACAGATGAAGAAAACCAGACATCCTGCGACAATGTACAGAAGAAGGCAGAGTGTGGTGAACAGTCTGCTGCCAGAAGAAAGCGTAAGGTGAAAGGTAAAAAGAGATGCAGGGATAGGAGAGGTCACAAGAAGACAAGGGGTGGCAAAAGTCGTTCCTTGAGTAATGCTGGTTCATTACAGGATCCTGAATCTAATCAAGATTCAACAAATGAGGATTGCTTGCAGCAAGGACAGGGTCCAGAGCAATCTGGAAACAAGGACAGGTTGCCTCCTACAAATCCAACTCCCATGTTGAATGGAGGTACAGAAGAAGAGCCTATGGATACTGCCAGCGATGAAGATATGAATAAATTAAGAAGACGCCTTGTAATCAGAAAAGTTCCAGTGGTGTCCAAGAGTGAGACAGACTCTGATGAAACATGTATTGAAGATGATGACTTAGATCCATCGTCCAGTCAAGCTGGCGGTATCAAGTCAGAACACCCCAACTCAGATGAAACCATGATTGACAGTAATGATGGAGATGATCCTGGCTGCACTGAAAATATGACAAGCGATGCAGTGGATGAGGTGGTCCATAATACAACAACTGAGTATTTTGATACACAGCCCTTCTCGCCTATTCTTCATAACGAAACTGAAGATTCATTAAGTGATGCAGATGAAGAGTTGCATACCTCTGAGACGATCGTTTCAAGAGATTCTCCATCATACTTGTTGGGGGATAAGGAACATGATGGTAGAGAAGCTGCTGACCTAGAACCTAACTCTCACGTAAGCTGTCAAAGCCCTGATGAAGAAATCCATCAACCTCAAAGGGATGACGCAGGTTTAGAACCTTCCTCAAGCCACAGAAGTAATGGTGTTAATCGGCCAAGTTTGCAAAGAGAGGATGACTCTCCTGGACAATATTTTCCCACAGATTCCCAGTTAAGTATTAGTCTCGACATTGAGGATACTGAAGAACTTACCACTCTTGAAGATGATTCTCAAGATCAGTATTTCCCCACAGATTCCCAGTTAAGTATTAGCCTCGACGATGTGGATACTGAAGAACTTACCACTCTCGAGGACAAAGGACAGTATTTTCCCACAGATTCTCAGTTGAGTATCAACCTGGAGAATGAAGACACTATGTCCATTCCTTCCAAAGCCCACTCAACCAGAGGAGCTTCAAAGAACCTTGATAAGGACTCTGGAAAGAAACTTCTTCCTTGCCAACGAAATGCATGGTGTCCCTCAGAGTTGGATCCACAAGAAAGATTCTTGTTGCTACAAGAGGGAGATTCAGAACATGTGTCTTCTTTCTCGCAAGAAACTCTATTTACGCCTTCCTCTCCCGGTGAGGCCCCAAGCACATCTACAGCATCACCTGGCTACTTACTTGCAACTTCAAATGAACAACATATACCTAAAAAGAATAAAAACTTCCAAAGACCCTCAAGAGCGGATAAATTACTGACAACTATGAAAGAAAGTGATCAACAAAAGGAGAAGAATGATACCAAGAGGACCGACTCTCTACAGGACATTCCTGACACTCCATCTAATACACCCAGCTTAAGTTCCAAGGAACCTTCAGAAAGCCCTTCTACATCCATGATCCGTTCCTTGCAGGATTGCCTCCAGCAACCTGCATCTTTGAACTCAAATGAGATGGGTTTGGAGGAAAGACTACCTGCAGATTCAAGAAGTTTGTCACATGGTCATTCATCTATTCCAAGTGTTTCCTTTCCTTCAACAAGTTCGTACTCCGGTAACATCTCTGAATCCTCAAGGACTCTTAACGGTGGTCATTCTGCCTCTTCAGGCACCTCTGAAACACCCAGTACCAAACCAGACAGGTTAAAACCTACTGGAGATGATAGATCTGCTTGTCCAAGTGACCCTCCAGACCCATCATTGGTGGCATCGGACATGAGCAAACCTCTAAAGAAGAGACGCCACTCGCAGACATCAAGTGTTCCGTCAGGAAACCAAGGGACAGAACCTTCCAAGGTTAATCAGGTAAGTCCCTCTCTTCATCTGCAACTACTGGTGGCATAAGGGGCAGTTGTTTTTGGTAGATGTTTTAAAGTGTTAATGAATTGCATGTCACAACTTGTATTATAGTAACTGTAGGAATGTCAGCCACGTCTCTCTCTTGATGTTAGTCTTGGCTCTGTCATAACTCAACTTGATCTTAAAGGCTGTCTGTAGTTCTCTAGTTTGGCCAGAAGAGATTAGACCACACAGCGTGGTCACTGACAGGTGGCTTTCTCATCAACTCAGCTATCAATTAACATAAGGGGAGCCTTCCAAAGTTGCGACTGTGCCGCGACGCGTCGGGGCGCAGAGCAGGATATGAGAACAAAGGAGGCGCCTTTATGCGCCCATTAGCGCCTTTTTGCGTCGGATAGGAGAGGACTTCAGTTGGTTGCCAGCTCATTAAAATCTGGCTATTGTTTGGAGTCTCATTGTTACGAAATTACCCCGCCGGGGCGCGCCCCGGTGAAGCACTTGACATTTGTGAATGGAAGCTTAAACTTTGAATAGCTTTCGCGCCCTTTCGCGCCCGGTCCGGCGCATTAGTTATTCATGTAGTGCCCGCTTGTGTGTCGCTCTCGTCTTGCGAGATTTGACTCTGAAAAGCATTACTTTGGCTACTGATTTGTTTTAATATTATTTTATGTACATGACATTGGTTACAATGTTTGTTTATTTTCCTCTCAACATCGGAGTTCTGTAGGCGTTAACGTTGGCATGATTGTTCATTTTTTCATCTCCTCCTGTTCTGTTCATGTTTGTGTTCAATATACTGTATCAATTTTAATACAAATTGATTTGTTCACGAAAAAAACAAATTTATTTTATACTTTAATACCCCACTCTCTCTGACATTGTTTTCCTCGTGCATGTTTTGACACTTTAATTGTAATTTTATATTTCCTTATAGCGATGTTATCGCATGTTTCGATTTTCTTGTTTTTTTTTAAACAATTTTTGTTGCATCTTGTAAACAGTTCTGTCGTATGATCATTATAAATCATATAATTATATCATCAGTCTGTTATTTCAATACATAGATCCTTTGAATCTTCTTAAAATTAGAGAACGTATTTTAAAATCCGTGATTTTGAAAATAATACTTAATCAAGAATGTCGTAGTTTCTCCTTGAATTGGATTTAAAAAGCGTTTTATCTGTATTAATTTTTTGTTAATGCAAATGATATCCGTATTGTCGGGAACATCATCAATATGTTTCGTTAGAAGGAAGACGCTCATTTTCAGAATGTTCTTTCTTTGCAAAACACTAATGTTACGAACAAAATTAAATACACTGTACCCGTATCATCGGGGATATCGCAAAACTCCCAGGGAGATTATCAATTGCAAATCAACATAGTAATAAATTATGCCTAAATCGTAAGAATAGAGCATGCATTAAAAAAGAAGAGAGTTACCAGGAAATGATGTTTGAAATTTCACCCCGAACATATCTCAAGAAGAAATTAGTTTATCATTCTGTGTCAAAGAATTTTATCGAATATTTCTTTGTGACGAAGGGGGGGGGGGGGGGGTTACATCCGCGGCCAGTTTTAGATCTAGGTCATTGTTAAGAAGAACTAAAATACGTATATATTGTGCTGAATAGGGGCCACGTGTTATCGAAAGAGTGTAGTGCGTTCTAGAACAAATACAAGCCATGGCAATTCGTTGAATTGCTTCTCGTAACAGAACTGTCTCACTGTCTAAATAAGGATCCATCCGGGGGATCCATTATGCACGTGTTGGTATCAAGTAGTAAACGGAATTAATAATGATTGCGTTGTTTTGGGACATTTTTTTTTTCGGGGGGGGGGGGGGGGTAGCCCTTATTCTTCTTCTACTGGTTCATCAAGAAACACAAATAGTGTTGAAATTTTCCGCAATCCCTTTAGCGCCGAGGGTAGAAAAGCCTTTAGAAAAGTCAGCTGGACAATAGCAATTTAATGTTGGTCAAACAATCAGCGAGAAATACTGGGCAAACAGATATTAGCCCACGTCTTCAATATAACCAGGGAATCCCGATATAACTAAGCACATGCTCACAATATGAATATCAAATCTGGCTATTGTTTGGAGACTCATTGTTACTGTCTGGTAAAGGGGTACTTTTCACGCACCAAAGTCCGGCTCGTCTAGTACACACAAATCCGGCCCATATTGACTTTACACACTGGACTTAAGGAACTGTTTTCAAAAGGAGGGAAAATGCATATGCGTACCCTACATAACACTCATTGGGGGGGGGGGGGGGGGGGGGGGGGGGGGGGGCTGCGCTTAAAGGCGAAGCGCTTTTTGTGAATTGTGAATTTGTGAATTTGAAAAGCTTTCGCGCCCGTTCCTACGCATTAGTTATTCATGTAATCCCCGCGTGTGTGTCCGCTCTCGTCTTGAAAGATTTGACTCTAAAATTTTCACTTTGGCTACTGATATGTTTTATTATTATTTTACGTACAAGACAGTGATTTAGATTGTTGTTCTGATTGTTATTTTCCTCCCAAACATCGAAGTTGTGTAGGCGTTGACGTTGTTATGATTGTTCATTTCTGTTCATTAATGTGTTCAATACTTGTATTATATTAATTTCTTCACGAACAAAACAAAAACGATATGTATAATTGTATTCCTTCTGTATGTTTTGACACATTATTTGTTTCATATTACATTTATTTTGTTCTGTCATCCGATCAAAATAGGTCATATATCTATATCATCACTCTGTTCTTTCTCATGCAAGATCGATTTAAAGAATAGAAACGTAGGTTCTCTAAATCTTCGCAAAATCAGCTATTGTATTTAAATACCCGTGATTTAAAAATGATACTTATAATCAAAGAAATTGAAAGATTCTGCTTGAAATAAGATTATAGGGCGTTTATAAATATGTCATACAAAACAAACAAACATCTGCAAATTAAAGATATTACAAAAATGATAATCGTATTGTCGGGAGCCAGCATCATCAAAACGTTTCGGTAGATGGAACAATTCGAAATCGCCTATCTGTTCCAAACATGAAATTCGATCGAATATTTCTTCGCGAAGGTGGTGTATTGGTGGTGGCATTTGTCGTAACGATTTGTTATCGTCAATGTTCGTGACGTTTTGACATTACAATAAGTTGAGGGACATCTCCATAGAGGCCAAGCGTATTCAAAACGCACCACAAAAGGGCGCACACTCAGGTATGGGCTTTTACACACACTGTTCATTTTACGAGCTCATATCTCCCCGAATATATTTTTATGTACAGAAAAACCCGATTTTAATAAAAATTCAGGTTTTAGACTTGCTGTAGATGCCAAATTTGTCTACTTTTGTGAAAATTTTACATAGGTACCTTTCGAGTTGAAAAATAGCTTACACGGCACTTTCTAGGGCAATTAGCCTGCCACAATACGCGTTTTTACATTGACGCGCGGTGGAATATTTCCAACCGGATTTCCAACTTTGGCGGGGCGTTTCACTGTCGACACGTTGTTCATTCACAAAAGAACCTACATGGGTAGTTGCAACAGATCCTGATGCATATTCATGAGAAATTTCGTGGAAATTTGCAAAAATTCGCTATAGGTACCTTGTCAATATTCATAAACCTTGTCAATCCGACTAGCTAAGCAAGGCCATTTTGCCCATGCCATAGGTGTACACACAATAGCATGCGCGTGCAACAACTTGTAATACGCGATGCTGATTGGCTAACTATCGTTAGAGAATATGTCGCATAAGCTTAGCGCGTGATCACTTCATAAATATTCATTCATTATGACCTCCCAACGACTCTCAACGACTGGCGCGCGCGTATGCAATGTGCACACTACGCGCCTATTGGTTTAATCTGTTTTACCTTCCGCGTATGCGAATAAGGTCAACTCGTGATAGTTATATGAATATTCATTAATCAGTACCACCAATAGGCTCTGATTGGCTGTATGTAAATGAAAACAAATACGTCATACCTCATTAGGTTTTGTCCCCTGACGCGTATTAACTTGTTGTAATGACGTTTCATAATTGTTAGCTAGCGCTAGTAAAGTCTTTTGTTTTAACGTGCACTGTATATAGTTATAAGGCCTGAACACGTCATGTTCACATTGGGTGTTATATAGCATACGGATATTATAGTACATGTAACTTTTAAAAGCACTTTGTTTTTGCAACGCAATGACAAAAGACAGCTCTTTGAGCAGCTAATAGTTGTTGCGCCCATTGTTCCGCTCATAGACGGCTATTCCCAATTACCGGGCATTATTTGTTATTGTATCATTAGTTAAGTTTATTAATCTATTCATGTTTTCTATTTATTTATTTAGTTTTGGGGAGGGGGGATGTCGTATTACGAATTCATGACCCTTATACATAATGACCATGTTCTCAAATTACGAATAGCGGTCTTCATGAATAGTTGTCCAATGAATAGCGGTCCTTATAACTAGCGAGCGGAGCCCTCTTGATTGGCCTCTGCCATTTTGGTCCGGCCGTTCACTTCGGCGCCCCCTCCCTCACACACACACACACACACACACATAATACGCAACCTTAATGTGTAGCTAAACAAGAATCTATAGCAAGTCGGACAATAAATTATAGCGATCAAACAATAGCCTTGCTCGGCCGCATGAAATCCTGCGACGGCATTCTATGTTTTTACCTTTAGAGCAAACTTTTCTTTTGTATTCGCTCCATAGAACTCTACTTTATCTTACAGCGAGGTGAAATGAAAAGAGCGTCATCATGAGTAGATCTATTGTTTGATGTTATCCTTCTTCTCCCTAGTTAAGCCAAACCTTCAATTTAGGCCTATCCATAAAAGGTAGCTTTCTGTACCGTTCGCTTTTTTTTCCTGACTGCTATATGAAGCATGTGTATGCTCTGAATTAGGCAAACAGGGGACCGGCGGGTTTAAGATCCTCTCCGAACGAAATGTAATGTTGAGTTATGCCTTACCATAGCATATCGACTTGGTTTCTAACCAGGGAGCTCCCGGTTACGAGCTGCTCTGCTCTACCACTGGGCTATAGCGCCTCCCTCCTTTTAAAAAGATCTTTTAAAATTTGCCGTTTTTTTTTTTTTTAGAATAAGAATCGAAACATGTTTGGTATGTTTTTGTATCTGTGCATTAAGATTTCAAAATTTCACTTTCGACACTTAATTATACAAATCTACGAATAAATGTTTCGAATAGTGTTAGAGCAGAAATCAATGTTTGTATTTGTGTCCCTGCCCGTTTTGCGATCATGTAGCGCAAAGTAGAAGTCGAATGATAAATTATCATCATGAACTGATTAATGTTTTGTATTGCATTTCCAATTGCTGCTCAACGTTATCACCATCAGGCTACGCTTTTTTGTTTACATCTTCATGACACACATGTTTTATAATCTCGATATAGTTCCCGGACTCTTTTTTCTATTTATTCCACTTTTAAAAAGAGCTATGGAATTATTATGATTTAAAACGCCTTTTGGACGGGCAGTTTTCGAAGGCAAATCTCGGGCGTGAAATCCTGCCACGGCATTTTATGTTTTTTTTTTCCCTGAGGCCACTTAACAAAATATACATGTTTAGCGTCCCCGCCCACTTCTTTTTTTGGGGGGCAGCCTCCAATTTTTTTTATTTTTGGGGAAATTTGTTTTATTTTTATTTTTATTTAATTTTTGTTTTAAAATAATTTTTGAAAAAAAAACATGAAAAACAATACTAAAATGGATCTATTACTGATTTTGTTTAAAAGTTTAAAAATGTCGGCGGCCATCTTGAAAAATAGCCCGACTGTCAGGGAAAATGTACCGAGCGGCCATTTTGAGCGGCCATTTTGAAAGAAAAAAAAAAGAAAAGAGAGGGCCTCCTCCTTCCTAGTTTTCGAAAAAAAACAGGACACTAATAAAACATTTTTTATTTGGCCTTAGAGCGAACTTTTCTTTTGTATTCGCTCCGTAAAACTCTACTTTATCAAACAGCGAGGTGAAATGAAAAGAGCGTCATCTTGAGTAAATCGTTTGTTTGATGTTATCCTTCTTATCCCTAATAAGCAAACCTTCAATTTATTAGAACCAAGTCATGGGAGGAGAAAAAAAAGGATTTGACTGACAAAATATAAATTCTTCCAAGCTCAGACTGTGGCGATGTGCACCGCGTAGCGTGAATATGAATGACGGGAGAGAAAGATAATTCATTTGTCCATTATACGACGCTAGAATCATATCGCGATGTGGGAATTATACAAATGTGTTGATAATCATTCAAATTACAAACATACACAAGCGACCCAAACAGTAATCAATTTGCCGACTATAACCGCCTACATGTAGTCATTCACATCATTCCTCTTTAATTTGTTGTTGTTGGGGACAATTAAGCTCGCAATTAACCAACCATTAATCGTACATAGTCATCTTTATTTCACATTTCATACAGTCGTCACAAAAATTAAAAGGAGGCGTATTAAACCCAACAAAAATAAATCATTATTTATTCTGATCAAGATGAACGAGTGTGTTGATTGCCCCCCAAAACAAAGACGATCCCACCAGACAAGTTCATGCTGTGCTGTAGTAATGTACATCGCAAAGCTTCGCCACAATGATTGGAAAGGTAATACCCCGCCCGTTACGACGCAAAACGGCGCGAGAAGAATAGATCGCGACGCGAGAAGAATACATCATTTTTTTTTTTACAAACAATGGAAAGTTTATCAGAACGAAAACCGGAGGAGGGGAAGACAGGCTTTGGCCGACAAATACTTTCTGTATATCAAGTTTAAGCTGTACCGCGCATCACGAGCGAGAACAATGACGGGAGAGATAATCTTCCATCGCCTGGTGGGGCGCAAAAGGGCGCAAGAAGAATAGAGCGGGTTTATACTAACAATAGACAGTTTCTTTTCATATGCAAGAATCAGGTGAGGGTGACTATTGCGCCCCTTCGCGCCCCTTTGCGCCTCAATGCGTCTCTTGGGACGCGACTGTTCTATTCATCGCGCCCCGACGCGTCCGGGCACAGTCGCAACTTTGGAAGGCTCCCCTAAGAAAAAGAGGACCATGGGGGACCAACAGGCACTGATTGGGGAAGTTTTCTACAAAGAGGGAGCAAGTAGCTACAAGTAGTACAGTGGGGCTTTCAGAAGACTTGTGTCAGAAGTCATAACATTCTCATGTGTATAGTTATTTTGTAATTATTGTTTGCATGTATTATTGTTTTAAAGAATTCTGTATCACATTTTGATTATGGGATAAGTCAAGTCAAGGAGGCCTTTTCTCGGTCTAAAGAGGTACTAGTCGTTGCCCCTTTGGCCCAAAATGGGCAGCAAATGCCCTTTGGAGAAGCATTACAAAAAATAAAATTACTGTGATTTTTCCGTACCATATGTGAACAAGACTTTGAGAAATCCTGTTTTTGGATACCTTTTCTAAAGTTGCTCAACAAGGGTTAAACTAACATGGTCCTTACTCCTTTTATACTTGTGATTCTATTTTTGCTGTAGGTCACCAATGAATTCAAGCAAGAGGATGCATTAGCTTGCGTACTCTCCTGGGACACTGGCTGGTTTGAAAAGCACAAAGAAGGTATTGGCTTTTGATTTTTTTTTTTTAAAGTGCAGAAAAGCGGAAAAGCAGAAAAGCAAGAGAAAGTTTGAAATAAATCGGATCAATAACAAGAGATTTATGAATGTTTGAAATATGAGATCAATATACCTATACAAATCTCAAATTGGGAATTCTGCCAATGGATTTTGAATTTTGATGTCATTGACAACAGTCCTGTTTGTCGTGCATTAAAGTATAATTAATTTCTGTTTCAAAATATATTGTGGATAGTATATCATTATAGGTCCTATGAAAAATTAAAGACCTTCCCGAGTCATAACAAAAATAATAAAATGAATTTAGTCAATTTGTGTTTTGGAACAAATAAAGTTTTGTGGCATAACATCACAGTGACATTACTAAATCAGTCAATTTGAAGTACCCACTAATTTAGTGATTACAACTTTTAAAATTCATATCTTTCTTTTTTTTTGTCCGATTTTGTATAAATTTGTTAATTAAATTTCTGTATTTGTTTAAATGTTAGTGTCCCAATCATTCTTCATATCATATGTAGCATCAAAAGGTTATATCTTATCTTGAATATTTATGCAAACTATTTGTGGAAGCATTGTCTTCTTTTAGTTTTAATTCTGTACAAATTTGCTTACCAGTTACTTCTGTTTTGCTTTGTTTTGCTTTTAAATTATTTGCATCAATCCACTCAGTACGTCCTGCAGAGATTTTGCAATCTTTCTTGATGTGTAAGGAAGTACCAAGATACCATGCATGCTACCCAGACATTAGGAGCTATCAAGAGGCATTTATTTGCTTTTTACTCCTGGAGATGTGGTCAAACGTGAGTAATTTATTCTCAACTTTCCCCTCTTTCTCTTTCTCTTATCACCTCTCTCCCTCTCTCACCCTTTTTTCTCCTACCTTTTTTCATTTTGTAAGCAATGGAGATTATGTTCGTGTAGTCCCATATACATCTTTCTGTGTACAGTGCTTGTAACTATACCAAGACTAGACCAAATTTCTTATCATTTTGATGATTCCACAACCTTGCAGAACACACCAATGCTTATAATATGCTAGATGATCAACCTTTTCTGATCGATTCCACAATGTTTCTTTCACAATCGCATGACCAAAACTCAACTTCATCTTTAGGGACTTATTTGCCGGGGACGGATTGAACCCACAACCTTTGCATCTCCAGTTAAGCATTTAACCACTGGACTGCGATCCCTCTACTAATCAATCTACTTAAAATTCTTCCCCTTTTCCATTAAAACAAAATTTACTTCCCATCAGGTTTCAAGCTCTGTGGCTAAAGATTGTGATAGGACATGGAGGCAGAACTCTAGGGAGAACGAAATCTCACAGGACATCGTTGAAGGTAGAAGACCATTCATCGTATTTTAACTGGGTTTTCTAAGAACGACTTTTAATGGAAGATGTGGGGGGGGGGGGGGAGGGGGTCAGATTTCTCAACCACGGAAGGTCCAATCGACGCCCAATTTTGCAAGGATTTTGACACGCATATAAAATGTACTGCTGCATAACTTTTTTTGCAAGAAATTGGCTAATTATCACTTCATATGTAAATTAGATACCTCTTTTTACGAATTTATTGATATAATTTTTTATTAAAAACAAGTTATGAAGGTCAATTTTTTGAAAAAAGGTTTCTACATTCAATGCATTTACATATACCAGGTATAAAAGTTTATCAAAAAGAAAACAGCCATTTTCCCCCTCTTTAGTGGCAGTTACTTTGTCATATCAGAACAAACCTCAGTGTTTGTATTTTGTATTCGTTCATTTGGTATTTTCAGTTTTAGTTGACTGTGTATTTCATTCCCTATACATATAGTGCAATATGAAGCAGCTGATATTCAGACAGAACCTCATGACCTGAGTGTTGAGGATCTAGTCCTCGTTGACATGGCAACAGATACTGCTTCAGAGAAACAGTTCAATTTTGGACTAGTCCGTGAGATTGGATTGTCAGATAGGACCATATGCCTAGCCCTTCACAAGAGCATAATTGTACCCAGCTCAACAAGACTGAAGGTATGTGCAGTCAACAACTTAATTATTCATACCCCTTGAAAATCTGATGTTTTTTCTTTTTGTTTTCGTAACTCAGGGATGAAGGTTTGAACTAGGGCCTTTGTTGAATACAGTAAGCTTTGATATGTTATATTCTCAAGAAACATCAATCAGTAAAAATACTAATTTTTCACATACCGGTACTTCAAAATTAAAGCCTTGGATAAATGGTATGAATAATTTAGTTGTTAATTGTATGGACAATAAAAAATCTAATACAAACAGTTCTGCTCTTTGTAGCCTCGATACATCTGATGGGAGAAAAATTCATATCATCGAGAGAGCATTGTAGGAGGAATTCAAGAGTAAACAATGGAAGAATATTTACTAAATGTTCACATTAGCAACCTATTACCTGGTTGAATACTAACCCTGATATCAATTTTTGTTTGGGTCTGTAAAGTTTGTTTATTACTGGTATCAGATCCTATCCAAGTTGTTTAAATTTCAATAAATTTGTTTTCCATGAAACTTTTGTTGTATTGAACTTTCAGTCCTGTATTCTTATTCTACCTACTTGCCTTTTGTTGAAAGTTTTAACGGCATGAAAAATAGTAAAAAATGTTGCTAATTTTATTTTTTTATCATCCATGCAGGTTGTAACATCACTCAGTCATTACCTGAATCAGATTAGGGCGTTGCTGTCTATTAACAGCCATCCTCTCGCAAAGCACATCATAAATCCAGAGGACTCCCCCGTGTTTGCAAAGGACACACAGGTATCAATTATGTGAAAATATACATATCTTGTGAGCTCCTTTCCAATTTGCTCTACCTCAAATCTGAAATTTTTGCCCTATAGAACATTTCCATGCATTTTCTGTACAGAGCAAATAGAAGGGGGAATTTGCAAGATATGTCACCGAGTTACCAATTTCTGTTTGACTGAAATCAACTTTAAAAATTCATAATTTGATGTTGCTCTTACTTTTACTGACCTGTTTCTTCTAATTTTTCTGCATCTATTAAAACCAACCTAATATTAGGGTGGACTTCCCCTTTCAGTATGTGAAAAATTGATTTTTCCCTCTTTATGTTTCTTGAAAATGTGACATATCAAAGCTTACACCTAAAAGTATTTGACAAAAGCCCCAATTCAACCTGTCCACCTTTTACCCTTAAGTTACGAAAATTACACGCAATAAACTCCCCATCAAATTTTAAAGGGGTATGAATAATTTATTTGTTAACTGTACATGTACATAAATCTGATGATGATTTGATGAATTCTAACTTGGACTATATTTCTAGCACTACATGGAGATCACAACATGGTATGTGTGATTTGCACCACAGGTACACACGGAAGGAAGCGTTTCTGACGATGAGTTGCTAAACTCCTACATGGAATCCATTACAAGTCACGCATCCCGATCAGAAAGCGATTTGACCAATGAATGTGTGATTTCCTCCACAGATATGCACTGAACGAAGCGTTTCTGACGATGAGTTGCTAAACTCCTACATGGAATCCATTACAAGTCACGCATCCCGATCAGAAGTGATTCGACTAATGGATGGGGCAGCGGGAACGGGAAAAACTGGATTCTTGTGTCGACTCATTCAACGGATCACAAGAGTACATAAGGAGGTTCCTAAGGTAAGATTCAATTTATCAACACTCCTGGGGGGTGTTTCATAAAGCTGTTCGTAAAGTTACGCATGACTTTACGAGCGACTTGTATATGAAGTGCCAGATAGGATGCCCAAAGTTTTTTTTTATATTTTCAATAACCTCAATTAAATTATTGCAAAAAATATACTTTGCATTAAAAATGTTTGTTATAATAAGAATGTTAATCTACATCTGCACAGTTCAACTTTAGTTGATGCAGTTAATAATGATTGAGCATCCCATATGGCTTTTCATATACAAGTCGTTCGTAAAGTCATGCGTAACTTTACAAACAGCTTTATGAAACACCCCCCTGCTGTTGTTGATCAGCCCTTTGTCAACAATCATGTCAACAGATTCAACATAAGCAGAGTTAACTGTATTGCCATTTTTTTTGCAGACTTTCAAAAACCCTTACAAACTGCTGGTCTGTGCCCCAACCAATCAGTCATTAGATGTCTTGCTGAGGAAGATATGGGATGCTCTGATGAAGAAGATGGATAATGCACCGACAGGCAGTAGAAGAGATGCGATGAGTGAGTAAATCTTTTCAGTTTTAAAGACTTGTAAGATATTTGTCACCCAATAACAGGAGTTACCTGTTTTTAAAGGTAGATTTAACCATTACAACCGTCGCATCTTATATAAATGCTTTGAGCGAGTAATTTATTTTTCGTCAGTTTTAAAGACCCATTCAGTGTTGGTGTATAGGTTGGTTCCCATTGAGAATTTGTCACCAATCTGCTATTTACCCAGTGATGGATGTTACTCATCTGGGAGATGGGATGATACACATGGGTTTTATTTAGAAATTCTCATTCAGGAATTTACTACAGTGACTACTAATAATCTGTTCTTGTATAGCACATAACACGTTATGATAAAACATCCCTATGCGCATGCAACGACAAAGAGTTTGGACATTTTTACGCTAACTTTATTTTGGTCCTACCTTCATGCTTCAGAACACATCGTAGATGGCGTAAAAATCATACGTGTTGATAAAGCTGAGGAAGCCGATCGTCGTCTCACACAGTTTCTTCTCTCCACTGTAATGGCGAGTAAGAGAAATCAAGGATCACCCTGTAAGTTTCTGGTTCTTGTTTCTACTATTTTCAAATGTAAATCTGCTTTACCAATTACCTGTATATGAAGACCACCTACCTATAAACACCACTTTTCTTGTCTCCCATGGGTGGTCTTTATACCCAGGTTTCACTGTACTTATAATTTACTAACAGCCAAGCAAACAAAGTAATTTCATTACCTTGCATCATTTGTTTCGCACCATTACTCTTACTCCTCAATATTGATATATTTGTACTAATAACAAGAAAATCCTTCTAAATGCCAAATCATTTGATTGACCTTATATTGTTTCACCTGGGTCTCAGGTGGACTTTTCTTGTTAAAGTGGCCTAGATGTACATGTTAGTGGAGCAAATTTTTTTCCTGCATTGTGTTACGAAAAAAAAAGGTGCAATATTAAAGACATAATATTGATTGGATTACATATTTCTAATGGATGGATTTCATATAGATGACCAGCTGTCTGAAGATGACCTTCAAACCAAAATACTTCAAGAAGCTGATATTGTGGGGTGCACGCTTGAAGATTGTGGATTAGAGGTAAACAGTTCTAATTCTCTTTCTTTTTTGTTACTCTAGCAAAATTCTTGAAATCAAATGTTTGAAAATTTGTAGTGATGTACTGGGGCTTGAACCAGTAACTTTGCATTTCTAGTGAAGTGCTTACCGAAGTGATTAACCTTTCATTCCACCAAAAAATACAAACCAATTAACAGAAGACCCACACTGTGTACGACAAAAGCTTTGCATATCCTTTATAAAAGCCTGTATGTAATGGCTTTATACTGAAAATTAAGAAATTTACTTGGATGGATTGTTAGGGCATCATGGGAAACATATGTGAAATGGCACATCAAGAACTAACTCCTTGACTTTTATACCTTTAATCAAATTGCTGAGGCCCGATGGCTTAGTGGTAGAGCTGTGGTCTCGTAACCAGGAGATCTCAGGTTCGAAACCAAGTCAATGCTCTAACGCCTTTCTTAAGGCATTAATCCTCATTACCAAGTCCCTCAAAGAGGACTTAAAGCCATTGGTCCCCGGGTTGTTTACTTACAAGCACATGCTTTCCTAGCAGTGAGGTAAAACAATAATCATCATCATAGTCGTTTTGTTATGGTATGCCTTGCGTTGTAATGCTGCTGTGGTCAACATCAAGTACAAAAGCAAAGGAGGCTAAGGTCAACCCTAGGGTCTGTCCATCAATTTTAACCCGTTGCCTGGTCCCTGTATAAAGCCTATGGAACTAGCTAGTCAACAGCCAGTCTCATCAAGGTTTCCATCATGGAAGTTACTATTCAAGGCAAAGTTGGCATTATGCAACCCTGCCTCTTTTTATCGCTTAATGTATCTGGTGAAATTCTGGTGAAATTCTGAAACAATGTTATCTTTTATACTAGTAAATTGATTTTAGTTGTCATAACAAATCAACTTTGGACAAGTCATTGTTTAATGTCTCGGCAAGCCTGTCATAATAGAGACGCAGTCGCATTTAACTATTTTTGTTTGTTTGATTTGTAGATCGTAAGAAGCAGCTTGGCAGGAAATGTGTTTGCACTCTTTGTGGATGATGTAAGTACAGTATATACTTGTAGATCTTTACTGAGCTACATTAGGTTCAGTTCTGGTAATTGGAAAAAATTAGGGGGGGGGGGGGATGGGGGTGAGCATATATTTTAGTTTGGTTTTATTGGAAAGAACTTCCCACATGAAGCACATGATGTATATGGTAGGCCTGAAGGCAGTCTTGATTTTGCACAAGTTCCTAAAATTAATAATTTTAGAAACTTTAGTGCAAATTTTCTGAAAATTCACTTAACTTTCCTTTTAACTTTTCTTTTAAGTCGTCAAGTTAATTGAGCACTAATAGAGCTTCGAATCGGTATTCAGAAAGCTCACTAAGCAGTCAATTTAACAATTAAATCCTGCATCTTCAAAATATGCCTCTAATTTTCGAAAGAAAAAACAAATAAGCTACTGAAATCTTGGCATTCCATTGGCTGAGAGCAGATTTGTCATATATATTTAGTATTTGTTAATGATTTGTTATTGATGAAAAGTTTTATGAAACAGGGCCCAGTTCCCATAGGCAATAGGTTGAACAAAATCTCTGGACTTTAGACCACTTCTGAAATCTTTAAAAGTGGAAGTGGTCACATTGTTTCTTTGTTTTACAGTATGTTTGCAGCTGATTCTGTTTCTTTTTTCTAGGCCAGCCATTGTTTGGAAACTGAAATTCTCCTTGCGCTGCAGTGTAAAACTAAGCGTGTTTTCTTGGCAGGCGATCAAGAACAGGGCATTGTTAGCATTCGCTCAAAGGTATGTACAAGTACGATCAGTTAAAAAAATATGTGTACTTTTTTTTTCTTTTCCCGAGAGCTCTCTTCAGATTTTTGTCTTAATTATGGAGGGCCATGTTATAGTAGTTTCGATAGGACATATATGACATATTCATAATTGTCACATTTATAATTCCTGCAAAGTTGTACAGAGTTTGATGTTGGCTGCGAAAGGTCATTTCAAGGTGTGGGTTCATATCCCACCACTGCCACCAATAATAAATGCGCCTCAGAATAGAATTATCTAGATAGACGGCGCTATAGAAATGCCTATTATTATTATTATTATTATGAGTTTGAGGGTCTTAGTAATGGTAGAAAACTCAGGATAATATAGAGTAGGCAGACTGGTTTGTTATGGTAGACATGTTGTTTATTCAACTACAACGGATACCGGATATTAGGATATCGCATATCGTAACAAAAGGGACATAGTATCTTTAACAATAGTTTTTTCTTCATAAAAACCTCTACTCATGGAACCTGTACATAAAGAAGAAATGTCTAAAGACCGACTACTTTTCTTGTCACCCTTGATTGTTTCACCTAATACCATTATCTCTTGTACATGCACCTAGGGGGCCCAAGATCTTGAATTCGGTCATTCCATGCTAGACAGGCTGGCTGAGAATTTTGAGATAGAGGACAGACGTATCCACAGATGGGAGGTTCAATACCGCATGAAGGAAGAAATCGCAAAATATCCATCCTCTGTTATGTACTTACACAGACTCAAGACTCGGGTTAAGTGAGTGATTTGTCCTTAATACCCTTTCCCCAACTCTTATCCTAATTTTACCTCACCCTTACCCCAACTATTTTGTGTTTGTGCTTTCTTGTGTTTAATTATCATCTATGGAACTTGCAGGACAATTTTGGTGAGGTTTTATGCTTTAGTATTGTATTCATACAATTCATATAACTTCACTTGAATTCTTAAAAAACCATCTCAAAACATACCATTCAACATCTTAATTTGTCCTTATACTAAGGAACAGCGCCTTGTATCTTCTGGAAAAGGGGCTATATGTAAATACAATTGTTATTATTGCAATGATTATATTATTATAATAATTATTAAGAATGTAGGTTACAGAAGTTTTATGGATAATATTCTATGTTGGGTTTATAGGATATGGGAGTTAGCTGCTTGTGTTTGGTGTGTAGATAGGTCACCTATTTCAGAGATCAATGGGTTAATTTATTGTATCAGACATCATCCTGAGGGTGATAATCCACTAATTTGTTATTTTACTGCAGTCACCCGCCCTTCCTTCTTCATCCATATATCATCTTTGACGTGGCTGATGGAAAAGAAATTTTACACAGAGAGTGAGTATCTGGTATAATGATAATGGTCTGGTATAATGATAATAGGCCTGGTGCATCAGCCGAACCAGCGGCCGAACCAGCGGCCTTGGTGATTGGTCGATCACCGTGTGCGTCGACCAATAGGCATTGGGCGTTATTGTTCCAATTATCGATCGAATTATAGACCGCTCCGCCGGTCCACCCGTAAAGTATAAAAGACCCTTGCTTACAATAGTTTTTATCACCTGACGAAGTATCGCAGTAGCATACGAAACGTCGTGATCTTTTAGATTCCTTATTGACCACATTGCGAGACAAACGAATATCACTAGCGATATTATTTTCGATAATGGTCATGTTTGGCTTCTACTATGTACATTATATGTTGCTATCTCTATACGCTTCACAAAGCAGTACTACCGCATATGTTGTTGTTGACAGAACATTACTGCTCTTTGCTCATGCAACAAACATGCAAATTATATTTTCTCTAACTTTGGCCCTTCGTATGATAAGGAGATTTAGAGCCTTGCCACAAGCTTCTCAAACTTGGTCATGAAAATTGAGTGACATATGAAAGAAAAAGGTCACCAACAGGTGTCCTGCAATCTACAGTACGTATACTCTAATCATTCTCATTCTTTGATCTTTTCTCATGTACAGTTCAGTTGTCAACACCTCTGAGGTTTCATTCATCGAGGTCCTGGTTTCAGGCTTCCTTAAACTAAGAGAACGCTTCACTGTAGGCATAATTGCCCCCTCTGAAGGACAAAAGGGAAAACTTCTAGAAAGATTGCAAGGGTGAGGTTTATTACTAATATTTCATTATCTTTATATATGCAACACAAATCCCCGGGCCACATTGTATGTATCATGGGAAAGATGTACCAAAGGCTTCAATATTTAATGATTATTAGACCTTATTGATGGTAGACAAAATGGGCATTAGACAAACTGGGAATTAGACTAAATGACCAATTGACGGGCCTTATAATTTACTGAGTTAAATCGGTTTCCAATTGTTGTTGTTCCTGATTTTTTTCTCCAAAAAATAGAAAGTCCCTGAGATCGATGTAAATGAATTAGGGGATGAGGTGCCGTTTTTTCATGACTTGCTTAAACGCCTTGCACAAGTACTCAGCACCTCGCTTCGCTCAGATTTCTAAAACCCATTTTTTTAAATTGACGAAATGATCATTAGACCATGTGGATAGTAGGCAGGCAGGGTGTAGACTAAACGGTAATTTATCAGTGTGAAAATGGTTGTCATGTAACTAATCAAGATGGGAAATGGGTAATTTTGCAAAGCCATAGGGTGGTATTCCGGTAGCGCGTACTAAGTTAGCGCGTACTTAGTTAGTTCACACTTTTATGGAGTGCCTGTTGCAAACTAATTTACCCTGTACAGATTATTTTAATCCTTCAATGAAAAGCGTCCAAAAAATTAATTTTGCAATGAAATGGGAAGAAAAAGATAATATGAGTATGAACTGAATTTCAACAAAGTCTTTGGTAGATTATCTTTGTCATGAATATTGAAGGAGGAAGATGAAACCTAGCATTCCATAGAAGTGTGAACTAAAATTCTTGTTTAGTCTGGACTTAGTCCCGGCTTAACTTATGAGAATACTACCCATTGTGTTGCACAACGCAATAGGGAGAGTACATGTATGATTGATGTTATACATGTACAGTTAACAACTAAATTATCCATACCCCTGATAAAAAAAAAATTCTTCTTTTCGTAACTCAAAAATGAAGGTGGTTGAATTAGGGCGTTTGTCAAATACTTTTAGATGTAAGCATTAATGTGTCACGTTCTCAAGAAACATAAATCGGGACAAATATAGTTTTGACGTACCTCAAAAATTACAAAACTTGGTAAGGAGATATGAATACTTTTATAGTTGACTGTTTGTATCATTTCAGGAAGAACATTCCTGGCCTGGTTATTGGAACCCCTAAAAATTTCTACGGCTTGGAGAAAGATGTTATCATTCTGTGTTGCACCAGCACCTCCAGGACACCTAATGAGAATGGGTCAGTATAATACAATAATAGTACGAAAAATGTATGTAGCGCTTATGACATAAAAGTTTCAAAGCGCTATAAAAAAAATCAAGATTACTTCAAGAAAAATCAATATGACTAATAGAATTAACATTACTTCAATTACCAAGAAAATGAAATATTACTAACATAACTGAACAAATGCACTGGTGTCAGATCATGGATTATTATAATTATTATGAAGTATTTGGCGTCACCTGTGCCTTGGAGGCGAAAAAAAGCAAACTAAATCGCTGTAACCCTCAGACGCTTCAAAATGGGTCAACAAAATCAAAATACCCAACCCGAATAAAATGTTGGGAGTCACACAGTCATTGAGACCTCCATTTGCTTGAAGAGTACTAATCGCCTACCCCCCCCCCCCACCTATATATTTGAAGAATGACACCACAATTGATCAATTGCAGCATATTTGTGTGCTCCAGTGCTTATATAGATCCAAGAAATAAACTTAACTGTAAGCCCTCATCATCATTTATGTTCATTTCTTTCCTTTCCATTCTTTCAGATTCGTGATGAATAAACAGGTCTTAAATCTAGCTTTGACTCGATCAAAGTATAGCCTCATCATCGTTGGCAACATGAGGAGTTTACAGAAGGTACAAACTTTATTATTATTTCTCTGCATTCATTGTCTTCACAAATGTGAGCCTTTTTCTAAAGGACGAATGTATGAATAGGGCATCCTGAATATGGCACTCGCTCCCAGCTGATATCTTTCCCCCTGCACCAAACATGGACAGATCTAAAAAGGATCTGTCTATTCTTTTTCTTTCCATGCATAAGAAAATTGTAAGTGCAATGTCCCATCACAAGGATTAGTCATAAAATGTTCTCTTCCTGTAACTATGACTAAAAATATTATGTACCTTGGAATTAGTTTGTAGTCTTTGACATTCACAGCATTGTATTTCATTTTCCCACTCTTCACCATTACCATAATTCAAGGCTTATCCGTAATTGATACCTAAAATCCTGTCAAAATATCCACAATTATTTCTGTGCAGATGAGCAGCAACTGGAAATTCTTGGTACATGATGCTACCGGTAGACAGTTGGTCTTCAGGACTTCACAAGCTTCCTACAGTCAAGATGCCAAGAACTGTCACAAGGAAACAATACCTTCTAGTAGCCGACCAGAGATGCCTCTGAGAACTGTGTCCGAAGGAAGGCCTCCTCCTGGACAACAGCAGAGAGGGGTACAAGATGGAAATTCTAGGAGAAGTGAGGACAGTTACCGCCACAGACACAACCCATGGCCGCAAGATAATCCTGCACATGGCAGTGGTCGGGATCCGATGGAGGCAGATGCTGTGATGCCTGCAGGGGCCAACTATTTACCTCCAGGAGTGGACCCAGGTAGCAGATCATCTCAGGCACTTAATGATGAAGGTAACGCCCCCATTTTCGTAGAAGAACAGCACGTGCCTTATGCTCCAAGAAATATCTCACAGAGTCAAAAAGAGTCAACTTCGAGCAATGGGGTGGAGGAGAACAGAACTTCAAGACATAAACATGTATCTGGCGATGCTGGAATAGATAACAGGGGCAAGAGGCGAGTGCACTTTGATACAGGGACAGAGGATCATGGAAGAGCAGCAAAGGTCCCAAGGTCAAGCAACTACAACCAAGGTGCGTCCTCTAGCGTGAAGTCATTTGGTAGACGTAGACATTCTTTTCCGTCATCAAGAGACTCTGCTCAACCTCGAAGCATACTGAAGAAGCCTGACGGAAACGTAGCATCAACAAGTCATCACAACCTAAGGAGCCACAGTCCATCAATTGCAAGTACAGCCCCAGGCATATCTGTCAGCAGCAGTAGTACCCCGATTCCTCAAAGACAGAGGAGGAATAGCTCGGGTCTTGATGCCAGCCTTGACACAGAGGATGGGAAGAGTTTACGTGAAATTGCTACAGGAATGAGGGCCAATGAGAGGCTTCCCAGGCAGCAGAAGGGTCAAGTTATAGCAGGTCATACTGTTGGCAAGCGAAAACCCCAGAGTTCAAAGAGAACGGAAACCATTGAGCATAGTGGGAGAGAAAGGAGACCATCTGGTGAAGCCACCAGTGCTGGAACTTCTCAACGTCGGAACAGTTCAAATGGAAATGAAGCGGGACAAAATCAGAGCCGTGACCATCAGCAGCAGGAAGGTGGGTCAGATCAGCGACCTCGACGTCAAAGCTGTCAACAACAAGTGAGTCCAGACAGACAGGATCATGGAAGGAGTGTAAGGAGATCATCTGGTGAAGTCACTGGTGCTCGAACTTCTCTACGTCAGAATGGTTCAAATGGAAATGAAATTAGACAAAATCAGGGCCGTGGCCCTGCGTTGCAAAACAGTTCAGATCAAAGACCTCAACGTCAGTGCCGTCAACCACAACCTTATATAGGAATACAGGTTCTGCGTAGGGCTTCCTTGAACCAACTTGCCTACAACCCAGTACAGCATGATCGAAACATGCTCCATAACAGGATAGTTAATGAGGCATATGGGGGTCGTTCTACTGCCCTGACTGAGCCTCGGCCAAATTTGAGGAGGGGGAAACGCTAATAATAATACAGGGTATTAACATTTATAAAGTTCCATTTATCCATTGTACGAAATGCTCTATGCACTGGTCATTCATGTACATAAAAAACATTGTTAAATGATTGAAATTGTGTGTGTGTAATTGGGGTTTTACAGATGTGTATCAATCAGATATGATTATTTACATCTGTGGACCAACCTTTAACGTTACAGTCCGAAAGACGGGACTCAGTTTCTAACCTGCGTCCTCGGCTGAATCAGTTTTGTCACTTCCATTGTTAGCTGGATTACAGGCGCATGCCCCAACGCCCCGTTGTTTTGAACAACTTATGTTTTAATAGGCAAGATTTCAAAGGGTTAACAGATGATACATGTACTGTACATGTATGTTTTCCGTTCAAAACGTTTGATTCAGCAAGTACTAATGACCAATCCCTGTGGGTTTCTATAGTATTTGGTACTTGTACAAGAAGTAGAGAAGAGTTAGAAGACCTTGGCAGTCTGGGAGGATGGTGGAAAATGAACAAAGTAGAATTGTACTTGAAAGGGACTGAACTGGTGAACTTGCACAGCATCATCTCATGGCCAACTTGTGAACAGGTTGTAACCCACTGTGCAGTGTCTGGTGCAGCAGCACGGTATCCCTTTAAATTTGTTGACTATATATGTTAACAACAAATTCACAAAACTTGCTGATTTAAACGGCTATAAAATGGCGCTATAAATCAGGAGATTTTCAACGACAGAATAGCAATCTATTGGTATCCTTGAAAAGTGTCAAATGCATCAGTTGTCCAAAAGGTCGAGAAAATAGTGAGAGCTAGCTAGTCAGTAGAATCCTTATTCGGGTCACTGTAATTCCTACCAATTTCAGATACTGTGTGGTTTCATTCTTAGAATTCTTATGCCAGCTTGCCTGTATTCCTGTCATTCACTTTTAATGGAGGTTATTCCTTTAGGTATGGGTATTACACAAGCCTTTCCATAAGTCAAAGCAGACCAGGAGCCAAATATCTCAAAGTCCAGGACCAGGACCCATTTCCAAAATTAGTGAAAATATATAATCTTCTAGATTGTCAACAGTTATCTTTTATTTATTCATTAGTCTGTCAGCACACTATAAAGTACACACTGCACAGCAGTGGTAGCAGTTTGAGATGTATAAACAAACCACAGACAGAGACAAAAACAACATGCAAAACTAAAGTGCATGAAATGAATTATGTGGGATATGTATACAATCACAAAAGGATTTTAGGGTTCTCATTGTATTCTTAAGTAAGTTTTTTTGTCAGATTTGTGAACATAATAGTGCCTGCCATGTGAAAGTTTCTGAAACAGGAAATGTTAATTCTCCCAGACAGGGCTAAAAAAAAAGAAGAAAAAAGACCGGCACCTGAGACTCATTTTTTCTGTCTCTTCGGGCGCCAAAAGTCGGAGACCGTTTGGTAAAAATCATCCGGCGCATGCTTACGGAAAGGCTTGGTATTTATTACATGTCTACTGCTCAATTTCTTCATTGCACATGTACTGTCAGGGTCCGTTTTCATAAAGCTTGTTATAAATCACAGGTTACAATAACTATTATCAGCTACTAAAATTATTGCATTTGATAGGCCGAGAGCAAATTTGTCACAGATATGTAGCATATATTAATGATAACAAGTTTTATGAAATAGTGCCCAGAAGTTTTTATAAAGATCAGATATTATTTCCTTCCTAAAACATTATGGCAATCCATTTCTATCAGCTGCCTATTTTCACTATACTGTCAATATTTTCAATTTAAATGAAATTGTATTCCAAATTTTATGCGTTTATATGTCCGAAAAAGGATGTGTATAGAAATGTTGCATGGTTGTAACTATGAAGAATGTGAAATTGAAGTTTCTTTTTGTTCAAAATAAGGATCAATCAAGCAAATTTAAGTGCTATTTTATGATTGAAAACTAAAATGTATGCATATATAATTTAACATCTAAATTATTCATACCCTTACCAAGTTTTTAATTTTTTAAGTATATCAAAAAATGTATTTTTCCCAATTTATGTTTCTGGATAATGTGACACACTAAAGCTTACATCTAAAAGTATTTGATTTCGTTCATTTCATCTTTATTGATCCATGGTGATACATAGTGATACATAGAAATTATTTTTCCATTGCCTCTGTTACAAGGTACAATTATAATACATTTACAATTCACATACCATAGAACATAAAACAACTCACACTGACGTTTTATAATTTGTATATATTTGCTTGAATTGTTTGAAACTTATAGGCATGTTCAGATACGATGCGGTAAACCAAGTATTCAAAATGCCACATAAATAATGTGAAAATAATCATGTACATAAAAATATAGTGGATTCAAACTCAAAGCTGACTATATTTTTATTAAAGGGATAGTCGAGTTCTGTTTTCAGACCGCAAATGCCTTCAAAGTGCATGGTTGTTGCTCTTATATTCTCATCTATGACACTTCTAGTGCCCTTTTAGAACCTAAAGTTGCTATGAAGGTAATTTTGACCCCAAAATGTGTGAAATTTAGCCAATACGATCATACCAATTCAGCTCCACTTTAAAAAAAATATGGTGACCGTTAATTAATTATTTAATTAAAAATAACAATACATGGGCCGGCTGGTTGTGCATATTATTTATAACCAACACGAAAATACCAACAAAAAAGGCAACATCGGCATTGGCTGAAATACGAGGTAAAAGGTGCTTTTTTAAAACTTTTTTTTCAAATTATCTAATATTTTTAGTGGTTCACAAGTATTAGAATTAGAAACCTTTATATTCATGGATATTTCAGCCGTCTCTGAACCGATTTTGTTCAAACAAAGATGATATTGTCATTTAAATTGTATGTTCTTTAAAATTTGACACTCGGTTTTTCATTATCTCACAATTTTTTTTTGTGTAGCGCCCTCTGCAACATAACTAAACTATCCCTTTAACGTGCAGTTTTCAATCTCCCATGGCATTAAAAAGAATTGTTTGAAACTTAAAGGCTAGCTTGTTCATATATGATGCGGTAAACCACCGCACACAAATTTGCCGCAGTTTTTAACTTGTAAGTATGAATGGCAACTGCAGTCAGACCGCAGCGTGCGCGATAATGAGGCTATACGCTGATTTTTATTCAGCGTCTCTTTGGTTATCTCGTACATTCACGTGTGCTGAAATTCACGAGATTTTCTGTGAGATTTGTAAGGGTGTACATGCAGCTGCTTTTGTGGTCGATAACTTCTGTCAACATGGCAGCACGCAACGGTAATTACTCTCGAGATTCTCAGCTTCAGTTTGATATGAAACTTGCCATATTTCACAATTTTGAAACGATCCTTTTTCACCACTTTTATTGTCGCTATTTTTATAACATTTCAACAGCTATTTTGTACCCGAAATTTCGCTTTTGGTTCCTGACTTTGGTACATAATTAATTTGTTTACTTTGAGATTCGTTGGAAAGATGAAAAGTCACTGATCAAAATAATGTCAAAACCTAATTGACGCAAAATCTTGTTCTCTTTATAATCATAGTAATTAAGACCCTAAAAACCCGGAAATTACCAATTTGTTCTTTCTATATGATGGCACGAAATTGTGTGATTTCATACTCGTGCACGCTCGCCGTTTGAGCAATGGCAATGCATAACTGATTAGTAAATTCCAGGGAGCTCCGCCGCGCCACCGACTGGCCGAAAAAATTAAGAAAAATGATTAAAAAAGAAATAATGTAGAAAAATATTATTTGATAGGCAGGTGACGTAATTGATCCAGGGTCCTCAGGTTGTTGTCATGACTATTAGCGCGCACGTGCATTACAGGCGCACGCCACAAGGAATGCTTACTCAGATTTGGTATTTAGAATGTTAATAAACCAAAGCGGAACATATGTGACGTAGTTGACGTATTTGGCCAATCAGAACGCTCTATTATCACATCGGCAAAGTTGACTACTTTTTTTTAATTATTCATGAACATTCGCGTGATTTTTCTTGGTTCCTGACTTTGGTACAGCGTAAAATATAATAATTTTGATATCATTGTAAAGAAAAATATTTATGCTTTATGCTGATTATAACATCTTCTTGACGCAAGAATGATTTCTATGTGAAAATCAGCCCTACTCTTTAGATAGATTTATCGTCGAAAAACCCCATTTTCAAGGCGAAATATCTGTTTCCAAAATATATTAAACATGATTGTCATATAAGTATATAGAGAGTGCAACTTCTTATCTTTGAAATAAGACCCATTTCATGAGAAATGAACAATTATAAAGGCAAAAACTGCCGATCGGGAAGACCGTCTGCACTACTCATTACGTATGCAAGACACGTAAATTCTTGCATACGTGCTGAATAAAATAGAGGGTTTTCGCACCGGCTGCGGTCTGACTGACTGTGTGCACCAAAATGTTTTAAAAATTTGGATTTAGGACGCCGTGTTTCTCAGGCGCCTGTTAAAGGTAATACAAAGTTTTGGGAAATTTTGAAAATTGGGTGGATAGTGATTCTATACAATTGCGATATATTTGGATGCCCCTGTGGATGTATTACAAGCACTGGAAAATTTAGCCCCTAAAACACGTCTGTTTTCGAGAAAATTTGAATATAACAATTTACTGGTGCTCCGGCCGGTAAGAAATTCAAATATCGCGTATGGCCGTACAATGGTAGCTGTGACCTTGAAATATCAGAATATGTAGTTGAGATATATAATTTATAAACGGGAATAGCTAATCGGCCGATTTTAGTCAAGAAACATTGTTTTATGGCTGAATCAATATCTTGACCTTGAGAGGGAGCTATACAACATAAAGAGTTTATTATTGACAAATTCATAACTTTAGACTCGATTTCAACCGCGCCAACGATCACTGAATATTGTAGGATTGCATATATGCTTCCAATATGTTCATTTGAACGAAATTCATGACCCCATACCAAAACTTTGAATTACCTTTAAAGTCAAGCCCTGCTTTACAATACTGTGGAGTCCAAACCTAATTGTATTCTAGACTGCCTCCGTGATTGGACTCAAGTACACTGCGGTATATTGTGTATAAAATGTATAGGGATTTAGGAATAAAACTTTATAAAGATTTCATTTCGATATATATTAATTTATTAAGTGCAGGAACTATCTGTATATATTCTTCTGCATTAAGTATTAAATAACTCTATTTAGTGATTTTATTGGTCATATCATTTCCTTGTATAAAAGAGAACTGTTGCTGAGCTATCATGAGCGCCCCTGGACGGTGTGTGCGCTCTATAAGTTTAGACTATTATTATTGTTAATGTTATTATTTTGTAACAAACTTTCTTTTCTCGTTCATTAGTATATTATACTGGTCAATACGTACTTTTGTGAACATGCTGAACATAGATACATAAATTGTCAACATACCGTTAACCGGTATACAAATTAAAAAAAAGTTGTTTCTCTTATGTATCTCATTGTACATTAAAAATAACATTTGCATAAAAAAGAATCCTACATAATTCAACTAAAGAAGAAATTTCTTTGACAAGGTTACACCTTGGCAATTTCTTAAATTTTAATGGCAGACTTTGTTGGATAATATGAAATAAAAGTACTTATATTTAAGTACTTGACTAAACTGCTCTATGAGCACCTTAAGTACAATTGGGTATTTACAAACAAATATATATATATATATATATATATATATATATATGGTGTACATGTATGTACTACCGGCTATGTAGAAGCATTTTATGTGTGCTTTAAATGGCTTTTTGCAAAAAAAAGGAAAGGTCAAATTGTGAGCTTTCAAGTTCATTTCATGTCTGTTTGGAAAAATATCACCAAAGAAATGTCCCCTGAAAATGATTGCTATATATATTCAAATAAACTTGAATGTAAATATGAGAAAAAAAAGCTTAAAAGTTTGGACCAAACTTAGGCCTACACGCCCATGTGTGTGCAACAAAGTGTACCTATTTCTTTTAGATGGACAAAATTTATATTTCCAAAGAGACATGTGTCGTATTCATGATCGTGAATGAAGCTGAAAATTGTTGAATTGCCTTTTTTAGATGTAAAACAAAAATCAAGAATTTCATTAATTAAATTCATTATTATACATGTAATTTCCAGAAGAGTTCTTCTTTGTTCGTAGTAGGCCTAAAGTGTAGTGATGTTACTGGCTGATGATGATGTTGATAAAGATGTGGTAATGATTACATGTATATTGGTGATGATGGCCGTGATGAGGGCGATTATTTAATAATGGTGGAAGTTGTGATACTATTGGGATGACAAAACGGATGACAATAAGGCCTAAACAAAAAAAGATGTTGTATTGACTATTGCCCTTAATTTGCGACCGATCTCAAAATCTTCAAATCTACGGTCGGCTTTAAAAAAAAATTAACCATTTTTTAGAAAAAAATGTTAAATGCTTAAAAAACTGATCTGAAAACATCATCCCAAAGAGGGACAGAAAAAAAAAGTCAAAAAAAAAAAGAAGAGATCTCCGACCGACCAACCCATGTTTTGGCAATACAACTTTTTTGTTTAAGGCCTACTAATAATATTGCACCTGTAGGTTTGTGTATGTAGTGCTCATCATGTCTCGTCTATAGAAACCAATTGGCAATTGGTCCCCATTATTAAAACCAATTGCTACTTGGATTCAATGGGCACCAATATTGCCAATTGGTTTCAATAGGTACCCAGCATTGTTTCACTTTCCATGTAGCCTGGACCTTCTACTCCAAATAATTGTCAGTTGATATATGGTATTTCAATGGGGATTCAATTGGATTTTCGTCTTGGGTCTCGCTCCTCGATCTGACCGCCTCTATTGGGGAATGTCAACAAATGTCAGATTTATTAAAGAAACGACCCATGTATCATATCAGATGGTTATTTCTGTCTATGTTCAATGTTACTAGGTCTACTGCGCTTGAAGGATATGACGTCTTCAATGAGTATTTTGTGCAAAGTTTGCACAGGAGACCTTGTTGTGCTTGTTGTCGGCTTCTGTAAAGAGAGAGCCGATCCTACCCAAATAATATAACGAACGAAAAAGACAGAAATTTTCGGTCTAGGTCCACCAAATTAGCTGCATTCATTCCACTTTCACAAAGAAAAGTTCTGCCCGAAATGTCTAGTAGTATTACGTATCCAAAATGTGCTCCTCGGAGGCTCCAATACACAGCTGTATACGTCCGCGCTGATCACGAACTGTGAAAAACTACTCTAGTCTAGTCATTCAAACTCCAGGAGGACCAGCATGGGAATTATGAACAGAACGCTCTAACAATGCATCTCATATTGCAAGCCAAAATGTCCGCAAATGAATCAAAGATGACGTACCACTCCAATACGTGTTAAACGTTTTGCCGTCGGCACTATGTTGTTGATAAATATTATAAATACACAATAAAAAATATAATAGGAAAGGCGAACAAAGCTGGGAACGGACAGTCGAGTCGTAAGGACTAAGGATCCATATTTGTTTTCTTCAGTAGTATCGCTCCAGTATCGATAATTGACATATCGTATAACAGGTCATTTGCGGACCGGGGATTCCCCGTCAGGATTCCCCCAAAGTTGGCGCGCAAATTTACTAGGCCGTGTTCAATACAGCACCTCCAGCTCCAACAACAACAACTCTGGTAACATTTACTTTTACGCTGCTTATTGCCGCATGTGATTGTCGTCTCACAGCTATTCCATCGACTGCATGCCGAGGCTACGCAACGCCGACGAAGGCCAGAGACCGTGGCGATCGATGCCAGAGGCAAGCAAGTGAGAGCTAGTAGTATCTGCGTGCGTATATGTACAACAACTAGTGAACTACTACTAGTATAAATGCACCTGTAGGCTTACTGTACTGTGTCTGTGGGGACTAGGCAGTGCACAGTAAAGCTGCAGTGCAGGCATGTATATTTTTTGTTGTAATTCTATGTTCTGATCGTGCAGTACGTAGGCCTAAGTGAAAAGGAAACACAAGTTCATGGAATAGCAATGGAAACATCAGCAAGACTTGGAATTGTTTTTTCCCCACAGCCTCCAGGATATGAAACTTTGTCTTTTGTGCCAATAATCTTGACGTCTGCACTATCTATTGTCCAGGGATCTGCAGGACTTAGACCACCAAGACCACAGACAGAGCCCTATCAGAACGGCCTCAATTTTAGACAGTGCAAGCCAAGTTTATGGAAGAACATATTGAAAACATCAGCAAGGCTTTTATTAAAGGAGATGTTTCCTATATAGATAAGGACTAAGGTGTTCTTGTAGATCAACCAGGCCTAAGCCTACTATACTAGTACTACTATTACTATTTTCTAGTCTGCACCTCTATCAAGGAATCTGTAGGATGTAGAGATCACATCAGCTACAGGCAGAGCCTCTATCAAATAAACTCTTCTATCTCAGAGCACAATTTTGCAGCAAATTAGTACAGAAGTTGACACAACCATATCAAAACCATCCTCTTACTCCATGAAAATGAAAGAAGTTCTGTAATCAGAGGTCAACTTCAGTAATTGATAAGGCTGAGGGAATATTATCTTCAGAAGTTGGGTCCTTTTCAAAACAGAACAGAAGCAAGGAATCCATTAGAAGAACCCATATATATGGAGGATAAGAATTAGAGAAAGTGGACAAGCTTATAGTGAAATAATTGGGTAAGAAAGAAACCGTTGGTGGTAGAAATTTAAAGAGATAAAGACAGATGTTGAATCATGATGATTCTCTCAATTTAGACTTTATGGATGATGATGATTACAGATCGAGAGCTGAAGATGAAGCAGAATTGAATGAGAGTTAAGAAGTGGGAGACACCATGGATGATGATTGTATCGTGATTTCTGATAGTGAGGATGATGAGGTAATTCAAACTGAATCTGATATTGACAGCATATCATTAGCCAGGGACGATGAAAGCCATAAGGACGATGATGTCAGGAGGGATTTGCCATCCACAAGCAATGGGAGAGGCACAAGGTCAGGATGTGGGAAAGGTCATATAAAGCAGGAAGTTACTTCACTGGCGGGGAAAGATGGTGCATTGGATTCTGAGTCTGAAGTTCAGGCAGAGGAACAGCCCAGTGGTATTGGAGAAAAAAATTCTGAGCTGGATGGTGATTATAATGATGAAGGACAATCGCGAAATCAAACACATCATAATGAACCAGGAAATATTAGTGGAGACGTTAGTTACGCTGGTGACATCAAAGGCAACGGAATGACTCTGGGAGATCTTTGGAAGGAATCTCAGTCTTACAGTCAAGTGGAGGCTGTAGAATATAAGTTTGAGGATAGGCTGTCATGGGACACAGCAGACTGCAGCAGCCCAGATATTTTTCAATCTCTGGAGTCACCGTTGCCTCAGGTTTCATCACCGGGATCGCCCAGTTCCGTTCCGTCTCGGGAATCGCCGTTGCCTCAGGTTTCACCATCAGCTGTTCACATTTCTTCAGGTGTTGTCAGATCCATTGACCGTGACAGGTTGCCTCTTAAAAATCCAACTTCCATGTTGAATGAAGGTTCAGAAGAAGAGCCTATGGATACTGTCAGTGATGAGGACATTCACAAACTAAGAAGATACCTTGTCAGCACAAAAGCTCCAGTGGTGTCCGAGAGTGAGACAGACTCTGATGAAACATGTATTGAAGATGATGACTTGAATCCATCGTCTAGTCAAGCTGGCAGTATCAAGTCAGAACCCCCAAGCTCAGATGAAACCACGATTTACAGTAATGATGGAGATGATCATGGCCACACTGATACACATCCCTTCTCACCTATTCTTGATGCAGGGGATGAAGTAGACGTTAATGAAATAACTGAGGGTTTTGATACACAGCCTTTCTCACCTATTCTTGATGCAGGGGATAAGGCAGTCATTGGTGAAACAACTGAGGGTTTTAATACACAGCCCTTCTCACCTTTTCTTGATGACGAAACTGAAGATTCTTTAAGTGATGCAAGTGAAGAGTTCCCTACCTCTGACACGATTGTTCCAAGAGATTCCCCATCACACTTGTTAGAGGATAAGGAACATGATCGTAGGGAAGCTGCTGACCTAGAACCTAAGGACCTCTTCCCATCAGACTCTCACATAAGCTGTCAAAGCCCTGATAAAGAAATCCACCAACCTCAAAGGGGTGATGCAGGTTCAGAAACTTCTTCAAGCCACGGAAGTAAATCGCCACGGTTGCAAAGAGAGGATGACTCTCATGGACACTATTTTCCCACAGATTCTCAGTTGAGTATTAGCCTCGACAATGAGGACTCTGAAGAACTCACCACTCAGCAGCCGCTGCAAAAGCCTCAAGAGGATGACTCTCTAGGACAGTACTTCCCCACAGATTCCCAGTTGAGTATTTGCCTCGACAATGAGGATACTGAAGAACTTGCCACTCAGCAGCCACAACAAAAGCCTCTAGAGGATGACTCTCAAGGACAGTATTTCCCCACAGATTCGCAATTGAGTATCAACCTGGATAATGAAGACATTAAAGAAATAGTCAATCAGCATGAGAAAGGAACAGTATTTCATGGTGAAGAGTCACAATCAGCTATGTCCATTCCTTCCAAACCCAACTCATCTGGAGGAGTTCTCCCTTGCCAACGAAATGCATGGTGTCCCTCAGAGTTGGATCCACAAGAAAGATTCTTGTTGCTACAAGAGGGAGAATCAGAACATGTGTCTTCTTTCTTGCAAGAAGCTCTAGTTATGCCTTTCTCTCCCAGTATGGCCCCAAGCACATCTACAGCAGCACCTGGCAGCTTAGTTCCCACCAGAAATAAAAAACACATACCTAAAAAGAATAACAGGATCCGGAGACCTTCAAGATCTGAACAACTACTGTCAACTATGAAACAAAGTGATCAAGAAAAGGAGAAGAATCCTACCAAGATGACCAACTCTCTACATGACATTCCTGACACTCTATCTAAGCCACTCAGCTTAAGTTCAAAGGAACCTACAGAAACCCCTTCAGCAGCTATGATCCGTTTCGTGCAGGATTGCCTCCAGCAACCTGCATCACCAAATTCAAATGAGATGGGCTTGGGGGATGAAATGCCAGCAGATCCTAGAAATTTGTCTCATGGTCATTTATCAGTTCCAAGTGTTTCCTTTCCTTCAACAAGTTCGTACTCCAGAAACATCTCTGAATCCTCAAGAACTGTAATCGGTGGTCATGCTGCCTCTTCGGGCACCTCTGAGACGCCCAATACCAAACCAGACAGGGTAAAACCTACTGGAGATGATAGATCTGCTTGTCCAAGTGACCCTCCACACCCATCATTGGTGGCATCGGACATTAGGAAACCTCTAAAAGAGAGACGCCACTCGCAGACACCAAGCATTCCGTCGGGAAACCTAGGGACAGAACTGTCCAAGGTTACTCGGGTGAGTTCCTCTTTTCCTCTGCAACTACTGGTGGCATAAGAAGCAATTTTTGGGAGATGTATTACAGTGTTAATTAGTTATATGTCATCACCTCCTGTATAATAAATGTAGGGGGGGGGGGGGATATAGAAACCCCCAGTTTGGCTATAAGACTCTAGTTTGGCTAAAAGACTTTTGGAAAGATAAGAGGAAGGACATTCAACATAGCTTGTGTCAGTAGTCACAGGAAGTGTAAGTGTACTTCAGACTTTTTAAACCTGAAAACACATTATACATTTAAACAGGTGTTTAGTGAGTATACAGTATATTTAGTATACGCATACAGGTACATGTAGGACCTTCGTCATCCCCCTGCCATTTATTTACTATACACATACACTCACAAAAATATAATACAATATAGGTGGCTATAAATGAACATGCAATATAACCATTTGACAGCCATAATATTATAAATGAAAATGCAGTTATAATATTCTCCATCAGGAGCCGAAGGGCGCTGTGTAAAGATGTGCAAAAAATTAAATCACATAGATTATTTGCACCATATATATATATATATATATATGAATGGGCTTTTCGGAAATCCTGATTTTGGATAGTTGTTCTAAATTTGCTCTACAAGGGTTATTTAAACTAACATGGTCATTTTATACTTGTAATTCTATTTATGCTGAAGATCACCAAGGAATTCAAGGAAGAGGATGTCTTATCGTGCGTACTCTCCTGGAACGCTGACTGGTTTGACAAGCACAAAGAAGGTATATGCTATGGATTTTTTTTTTGTACAGGGCATTCCAACCTATATCTGCATGACCTGTATGAAAGCAGAAAAGCAAGAGAAACTAAATGATGATAGTTTGTAATAAATCGGATCAATCTTTACAAGTTCATAACTTTCTTATTTCTTGTTCGATTTTGTTCAATCTTTCACCAGTCTGCTCCTCTGATTTTTCTCTTCTTTTTTCTTCTTTTTAGAGTAGTTTTCTTTTATGATTGGATTTCCCTTCAAATTTTCATCCAATACTTTTGTGCAGACTTACACAAGGATGTTAAAATAATGAAATGTACATATATATATATATCTTTTATCGTACTGTATTGCACACTTTTCCATTTTTTATTAATTTTTGATTCCCTTAGATAAACAATGTATTTTATTGTGTTTCAGATGCGCCATGGGGAGAAGGACTCTAGTAGGGAATTCAATTATAAACTTTCTTTCTTTTTCTCTTTTTTTAGAGAGAGAAATTTATTCTGTTATTTAAAAAACTTAAAATGAATCATTGTTATTCAAATTAAAAAAAAAAAACCTTAGTATTCCAATCACTTGTTATATCTGCATCGAAAAATTAGATCGTATCTTACATACCGGTATACATGCAAAATCTTTGTGGAAGCATTGTCTTTTTTTTTAGTGTTAATTCTGTACAAATTTGCTTTAATACGTGTGGCTTATTTAATATTTTGCATCAATCCTCTCAGTACATTCCGCAGAGATTTTGCAATCTTTCTTGATGGCTAAGGAAGTACCAAGATACCATGCATGCTACCCAGACATTAGGAGCTATCAAGAGGCATTTATTTGCTTTTTACTCCTGGAGATGTGGTCAAACGTGAGTAATTTTATCCTCGACTTTTCCCTCTTTTTCTTTGTCTTATCTCTTCTATTTCTCTCTCACGGCACCCCATTTTTTCTCCTCTCTTTTTTCATTATGAAAACAACAATGAACCTTCTCTTTAAGCGTTTAACCACTGGACTGTGCTACCTCTACTAATCAACCCACTCAAAGTTTTACCCCTTTTTTCATATCAAATCTGTAGGTTTCGAGCTCTGTGGCTAAAGATTGTGATAGGACATGGAGGCAGAACTCTAGGGAGAACAAAATCTCACAGGACATCGTTGAAGGTAGAAGACCATTAATCGTATTCTGACCAGGCTTTTTGGGGGAGGGATCAAATTTCTTGACCACGGAAGGTCCAATCGACGCCAAATTTTGCAAGGATTTGTAAAGGTTATGGATGCACAACCTTTTTTACAAGAAATTCACTTGTTTATTACCTAATTATAAATTATTCAAATTATATACCTATTTTTACATATTTATTGATATTCTGTTTAAATGACGAGGTATAAAGGTCAACATTACAAAGTAGTCTAGTTGAAGATATTGTATTGAAAAAATATTTGAAGTTTTAATTGACTGTGTATTTCATTCCCTGTACATGTAGTGCAATATGAAGCGGCTGATAATCTGACAGAACCTCACGACCTGAGTGTTTGGGACCTTGTCCTCGTTGACATGACGACTGACACTGCTTCGGAGAAAAAGTTCAATTTTGGACTAGTCCTTGAGATTGGATTGACAGATAGAACCGTATGCCTAGCCCTTCACAAGAGCATAATTGTACCCAGCTCAACAAGACTGAAGGTATCACTATAAACATGACTGACAAAGAAAGCGGACAAAATATACAGTTCCTCAGGTAGACAAAGGAACATCCCTTCACTGCTATTATGTACAAATGTGTAGAACAGGTGTCACATGCATATTCACCTTTTTACATAATAGCAGTGAAGGGATGTTCCTTTGTCTAACTGAGGAACTGTATATTTTGTCCGCTTTCTTTGTCAGTCATTTTCATAGTGTATGTACAATGTAGTACAGTTAACATCTAAAATATTCATACCCCTTGAAAATCTGATGTTTTTTTGTTTTGTTTTCGTGACTCAGGGATGAAAGTTTGTACTAGGGCCGTTGTTTAATACCTTTATATGTAAGGATTTCAAGAGTAAAAAATGGAAGAATGCATACAAATGTTAAAATTTACCTGGTTGAATATACTAACCCTGAGATAATTGTTTGGGTCTGAAAAATTTGTTTATTACTGGTATCAGATCCTATCCAGATTGTTCAAATTTCAAAATCTTAATCTTTGTATTCCTTAAAAATGAAATTTTAGTCCTGTATTCTTATTTTACGTACATGCCTTTTTTGGCTAAGTGTAACAGCATAAAAAAAAAGTAAAAAGTTTAACCAATTCATTTTTTGTCTTCATGCAGGTTGTAACATCACTCGGTCATTACCTGAATCAGGTTAGAGCGTTGCTGTCTTTTAACAGCCATCCTCTCGCAAGGCACATCATAAAGCCAGAGGACTCCTCCGTGTTTGTAAAGGACACACAGGTATCAAATAGAATTCATGAGAAAATGTTTGTATCTTGCGAGCTCCTTTCCCATTTGGTCTTTCAAAAATCAGAACTTTTTATTTTGCCCTATAGAGAAATTCCAAGCATATGCACCCTACATTTATAGTTGTTGCAAATATGTTTTATACAACCCCTGTATGGATCGATTCTGTTCTGTCATCGATAACCCCCAAAAATGGAGGTTTATGAAATTTTCAATACAGAGCAAATTGGAGGGAATCTCGCAAGAAAAGTAAAAAAGTTGCCAATTTGTGTTTGATTGATCAGAACTTTAAATACTCATAAATTTCTTTATCTTTAATAATTGGATTCTGCTCAAATTTTCGTTGACCTGTTTGTCTCATTTTTTGCTTCTATTTAAATAAACCTGATGTCAGGGTGGACTTCCCCTTTAAGTCTGTGAAAAATGGATTTTCCCCTCATCAAATTTTAAAGGGGTATTAATAATCTTGGTCTGCTATTAAGAATCTCCCATGAAAGAGCCTGCCACAGCAAAGGCCCTGCATGAGAGAAGGTTCTTTCCCCCCATTTAGTATTGAGCTTCTAGAGGGAGATTAAGAAATCGGGAGTTTTGAAAGCGTACACATCTGGATGGAATGTAATGTGTGATTTCCACCACAAGTACAAGCAGATGGAAGGGTATCTGACGATGAGTTGCATGGAATCTGTAAGTACTACGGCATCATGACCGAAAGTGATTCAATTAATGAATGTGTGATTTGCACCACAGGTGAATGCAGAAGGAAGGGTATCTGACGATGTGTTGCTAAACTCCTACATGGAATCAATTTCAAGTACCTCATCACAATTGAAAGTGATTCGACTCATGATAGGGGCAGCGGGAACGGGAAAGACAGCATTTTTGTGTCGACTCGTTCGACGGATCGCAAGAGAACATAAGAAGATTCTTAAGGTAAGATTCAATTTATACCAACACTCGTGCTGTTGTCGATCAGCCCTTTGTCAAAAATCTTGTCGACAAAACCCCATTATAGATGGAAGGCTGATGTTTAAAAAACACACTCCAGAAGGTGTGTTTTTCAATTCGTTTTAATTTAAATTCAAATCATATTTAGACTTTGAATATCACCTTGACATAATCCTTTACTTTCAACTCCATTAAAATTTCTATTATACATGTAGGGTTTCCAGCAGCTCCAATTCAGAATATGGAGAGCAGGTTTACAACAAAAGTTTATACAAATATTTTAGTGCATCACTTATGGTTTCTAACAACTAAATTAATCATACTCTTACCAAGTTATGTAACTTTTTAAGTGCATACAAAAATAGTTCCCCCCGCAGATTGTTTCTTGAGAATGTGGCCTAAGCGTACATCTAAAAGTATTTAACAAAGCCCTTAACCAGTTCATCATTCTTGAGTTACAAAAAAACACAAAATACATCAAATTTGCAAGGGGTGTATACTGCGATATACAGTTAAATCTGCATAACTCGAAGTTGCACATGCTGAACTTTCCCTTATTCTAATAAACCTTTTGACCAATATGCAAAATATGAATTTGGTACATTTCCAAATTTGAATTTCAAAAGATTCGACTTCAGCAGAGCTAACTGTATTTCTTTTCTTTTTTTGCAGACTTTGAAAAAACCTTACAAACTGCTGGTCTGTGCCCCAACCAATCAGTCGTTAGATGTCTTGTTGAGGAAGATATGGGTGGCTTTGAAGGATGTACCGACAGCCAGTGGAAGAGAAGCGATGAGTGAGTAATTTATTACAGTTTTAAAGACTCGTGAGGTATTTGTCATCCTCCAGCTATTCACCCCATAACGATAGCTACCGCTCTGTGGAAGTAGATTTAACCATTAGAACCTTTACGTCAGTTAAAAGGTGAGATTTAAGATATTTTTTAGAGGTATTGAGAGTTTGCTGGTTGCGAATCTATATGGGTACCGGTAGGTTATTCCAGTTCGGGAGCAGCAGTTGAAAATGCTCTGTCACCAAGTGTGGTTAGCATCTTGGGAGCCGGATGGTTCAGTGTGATGCCTTGAGAGAGGCGAAGGGAGTAGCGGGATGGTTGCCTGGTAGTTATAAGTTCTAATAGGTAGGGAGGAGCCAGACCATGGATGCATTTAAAGTAAAGAAGTATTTTTTAACTAATTTGGGACCTGGTGAGTACTTTGTAACTTTTCAACTTTTTTTTGTCCTGTCTTTATCCTTTAGAACACATCGTAGAGGGTGTAGAAATTGTCCGTGTCAATGAAACTGGGGAAGCCGATCTTCGTCTCACAGAGTTTCTACTCTCCACTGTAATGGCGAGTAAGAGAAAGCAAGGATCACCCTGTAAGTTTCTGGTTCCTCTTTCTTCCATTTTTAAAATGTAAATACAGTAAAAACTGCTTAGCGACCACCTGTTTAAAGAGACCACATTTTATATTTCTCTTGACAGTCATTTCTCATAGAAACTTGTTCTCAAGGAACCTGTATATAAAGACCATAAAGACCACTTTTCTTGTCTTCCTTGGGTGGTATTTATATCCAGGTTCCACTGTACATATGATTTGCTAACAGCCAATCAAACAAAGCAATTTCATTACCCTCATCATTTCTTCATCACTTGTACTCTTAAACCTGAATATTGCTATACCTGTACCCTTGTTAAAATGTACTGCGGTACTACTGCAGTACTACCGTGGTACTTGTACCGCGGTACTTGTACTGCAGTACTACCGCAGTACTTGTACTACATTAACTGGTACTACCGCGGTACTTATACTGCAGTACTAGACCACAGTTCTTGTCCTACAGTACGTACCACTGCAGTACTACTGCAGTACTACCGCAGTACTTGTACTGCAGTACTACCGCAATACTTGCACTACAGTACGACTGCGGTACTACCGCGGTACTTGTACTGCAGTACTACCACAATACTTGTACTACCACTGCGGTACTAGTACTGCAGTACTACCGCAATACTTGCACTACAGTACCACTGCGGTACTAGTACTGCAGTACTACCACAATACTTGCACTACAGTACGATTGCGGTACTACCGCGGTACTTGTACTGCAGTACTACCACAATAATTGTACTACCACTACGGTACTAGTACTGCAGTACTTCCGCAATACTTGCACTACAGTACCACTGCGGTACTACCGCGGTACTTGTACTACAGTACCACTGCGGTACTACTACTGCAGTACTTGTACAGCAGTATGCTACTGCGGTATTTATACTTTATTTAAAAAGAAATTTCTAATTGCCAGATCATTTGATTGACTTTGTATTGTCTCACCTGAGTTTCAAGTGGAGTTTTCTTGTTTAAGTGGCCAAGATTGAGATGCTAGTGGAGCAAAATTGTCCTGTACTGTGTTCCTACCATGAAACATGAAATTTTAAAGACACTATCGATTGTATTACATATTTCTTATGGATGGATTTCATATAGATGTTGAGCTGTCTGAAGATGGCCTTCAAACTAAAATACTTCAGCAAGCTGATATTGTGGGGTGCACGCTTGAAGATTGTGGATTAGAGGTAAACAGTTCTACTTTTCTTTCTGTATCTTTTACCCTAGCGAAATCATTGAAATAAAATGTTTAAAAATTGATAGTGATGTACTGGGGCTTGAACAAGGGACCTTCGCATTTCTAGTGAAGTTATTAAACTTTCAATGGCACCCACATTACACACCCTGCACCAATTAACCTGCAATGCACTGTGTATGACAAAAGCTTTGCAAAACAACCCATTTACGGTCTCCAATTGTCTCTTTTTTTACCTTTAACTCTTTGAGTGCTGAATATATCTATTTCCAAGAGGGTGGAATTCTGAAAACAAAGTTATCTTTTATGTTAGTAGAATTGTAGAAATGTTATCGATTTTCATAACAAATAAAATTAGGACAAGTCATTAGTTAATATGTGCAAGCCTGTCTGCATTCTCATAATAGTTGCATTCATCTTGTTTGTTTTGTTTTATTTGTAGATCGTAAGAAGCAGCTTGGCAGGAAATGTGTTTGCACTCATTGTGGATGATGTAAGTACAGTATATGCTTGTAGATCCTTGACAACATTAGAAGGTTCAGTTCTGGTAGTTGGGACAAAGTGTGGGGGAGGGAGGGGAGGGGGGGGGGAGCATTCATTTAAGTTTGGTTTCATAAGAAAGAACTTCCCACATGAAGTATATGTTGGCTATGAAAGACCTGAAGACAGTCTTGAGTTCCGAAAGTTGATGATTTTATGATTTGCAACAACTACTACAACATAGGAAAATGTGCAGCCTGCTAGAGCCACTGTCAGGGAGCCTTGCAATAGTTTGCCTCTGGATTTGGACCACTCTTGAAAACTGGAAAAGTGTTGGTCTTCACAAAGTTTCTTCATTTACAGTATGTTTGCAGCTGATTCTGTTTCTTTTTTGTAGGCCGGCCATTGTTTGGAAACTGAGATTCTCCTTGCCCTTCAGTGTAAAACTAAGCGTGTGTTCTTGGCAGGCGATCAAGAACAGGGCATTGTTAGCATTCGCTCAAAGGTACGTACGTACTGGTATGATTTTTGCATATCTTTGTTCTAAACTGTATGTCCACCTCCTTCATGCATATATTTTGTTGTTTTGGATACTTTATCATGCAATATGTGTGGAATACAGTGAAACCTGCCTTAGTGACCACCTGTACATAAAGACCACCTGTCTATAAAGACCACATTTTCTGTTTCCCTTAACTATAACAGTCGATTTTCATATAAACCTGATGTACTAACGGAACCCAATACATAAAGAACACATGTCTATAAAGAGCACTTTTCTTGTCACCCTTGAGGGGTCTTTACATACAGGATTCACTGTACCATTATCTCTTGTACATGCACCTAGGCTCGGGCTTGGGGCTTCGGTCATTCCATGTTAGACAGGCTGGCTAAGAATTTCAAGATAGAGGACAGACGTATGCACAGATGGAAGGTCCAATACCGCATGAAGGAAGATATTGCAAAATATCCATCGTCTGTTATGTACTCAAACAGACTCGAGACTCGGGATAAGTAAGTGATTTGGCATGAAGTCTGTGTTCTAATTCTATTCATCCGCATTTAATTTCTAACACTAGCCAATTCAAACCTTCAACCCCAGACCAAAATATGACACATCGGTCGTCACCATTCTCACCGCCCAAACAAACGGATCCATAACGGCCTCGTGCAAGCCTACCGTCCATATACCATCCTCTAATACAGTCCTCATACCGGGTTCTCACCATGTGCCACTGCTTGTATCCACTCAGCGACAGTTTTGTGCATACCCAACATTTTTGCCGAGTCTTGCCGGCCGCTAACGGGCCCCCACCATGTCCATCAACTTGTGGTCTCACTGTGTTCCACTCTCCACATAAAGTTTACCACACAGTGGCACCATGTGACAGCTACTTTACGTTTACCACACCCTTACCCCCAACACTTATCCTAACCCTTACCTAACCTTTACCCTAACTCTTGTCCTAACTTTTACCTGCCCCTTATTACCCCAGCTCTTGTCCTAATCTTACTCTACCCTTATCCCAACATTTATCCCAACCCTTACCCTAACTATTATCCTAACTTTTACCTCACCCTTACCCCCAACGCTTGTCCTAACTCTTACCTCACCCTCACCTCACCCTTTTCCTAGCCCTTACCTCGCTCCTTCCCCAACCCTTACTCCAAACTCTTACCCTAATAATTTACCTCACCCTTACTCCAAGCATTACATTTCTTAATATGCTATGATGGGAACCAGATGATAACTGTAATATTCATTATGGGAATATAGGAGAATTCAGTAGTAATTTATTTTATCAGACATCATGCTGAGGGTGATAATCCATTGATATCTTGATTTTCTGTAGGCACCTGCCCTTCTGTCTTCGTCCATATATCATCTTTGACGTGGCTGATGGAAAAGAATCTTTACAGAGAGAGTGAGTATCTGGTATAATGATAATGGTCATGTTCGGCTTTTACGTATACTATGCACATTTATATTGCTATCTCTCTATACGCTTCACAAAACAAATGGAATGACTTCTACCCATCGCCTACGGGAGCTGGGCGGTTACTGTGTTAAGCCTATGGGAAGGAATGAATTCAGTAGTCAATGGGTTAATATAGCCCATTACAGTGTACATAGATTGACATGCATAGATGTCGTGATCTAGTGGATACGTCACCGGACTGTGGATCACATCGTACGCAGTTCTAGTCCTCCTGCAGCACTAATGTCCATTGGCAAGATATTAATCTACATTTGCCACTCTCCACCCAGATGTTGTGAATTCTTAAGGGCAAAAATTGACATTTCTGATTCGTTAAAACAGAGCAAATTGGAGGGGACTTTGCAAGATACGTCACAGAGTTGCCAATTTGTGTGTGATTGATCGCAAATTTAAAAATTAATAACTTTCTTATTTTTGTTATCAGTTTTTGCTCAAACTTTCTCCCACCAATTTAATGTCAGGGTGGACTTCCTGTTTAACATGCAAACTATAGAACAGATTGTGATAAACACGACACATCTATGATAGCATTGAAAGATGAACTGAATAGATATCGGGTGTGTAAGGTTAAAGGTCACTTTGTGATTACTTCATTGAATGTATGTATGTTGAGACATGTACTACTGCATATTTTGTTGACAGACCATTACTATTCTTTGATCATCATGAAATGTACATGAAAATAAGAGATTCCCCAGCTTTGGCCTGTGTATGATAAGGAGTTTGTAGATCGAACCTTGCTACAATTTTCTCAAACTTTGTCACAAAAAATTGTGCCGTGTTTAATCATTCTCAGTCTTTGATCTTTTCTCATGTACAGTTCAGTTGTCAACACCTCTGAGGTTTCATTCATCGAGCTCCTGATTTCAGGTTTCCTTAAACTAAGAGAACGCTTCACCGTAGGCATAATCACCCCCTCTGAAGGACAAAAGGGAAAACTTCTAGAAAGATTGCAAGGGTGAGGTTGATTACAAATATTTCTTTAACTTTATATGCAAACAAATCCCTGTTCCACATTGTATGTATCATGGGATAGATGTACCAAAGACTTCCAAGATTTTTTTCACTTTTTTTAGTGCAAGATTAATCTATTGCCACTGTATAGAATAGCTCTTGTCACCTCGCTGGGCACGGTTTGCGGCGCAGTTATTGTCTTTTCGGGTTTCGGTTTTTTTTTAGACTTTTTTGTGCTTGCCTTTGGAAGTGAGTTTCTTTCACTTTTATTTGGGATTGTTTTTCTTTTGGAAATAGAATGAGCTCTTGGTTTATTTCGCTCTTGCTCGTTTGCTAAGATTTCCTTTTGTTCACAGGATCTGTCATGGATTCTTCTGATCTTGCTACCCGTACCCCCCTTCCATGAGTGTGACGGCTTCATCTCGGATGAACCCTGCTACAGTAGCCGACATCTTGCTTGCAGATTATCTTCCCCAGGTACGAGTGTCGTCGGACTACCGACCACTGACACTCGAGCCCCACTCATGGGAGCCGTTGGTTTGACGACCTCTGACTCCCACCTGAGCAGGATCACTGGCATTGTCCAGCTAGTGACCCGTGCACTTTGAGTGACACAGCTAGTGCATGTACAGCCACAGTCACTCAGGAGCTGGTCCCCCCCCCAACTGTCCCAGACGGATAGTTGCGAGCCGTAAGAGACTATCCGAAAGCCCCGCTGAGCTCGGCCCGTGTTTAGAACTCAGTAATGCTCGATCCCAGCAGGCACAGAACCGCCTGTTCAGAGTTTCCCCCTCGTATCCCGGCTGTGCTTGGCTCCCCTCCAGGTGGGGAGACTGCCTGCTCGTGGTTGCACCCAACCCATTTGGGCCAGGTTCCCCATGTAGCTGATTTTGTGGAATCAGGATAGTGACTCTGTTTCTGAGTCACTAGCCAGCGTGGTTCCCCAAACCACTCATGGTTTGGCAGCCGACGCACAGGCTCTCCTGGAGAAATACTTGCCGGAGACCTACACTCCAGCTCAGCTGGATGCGGCCCAGACTTCCCTTCTCTTCCCTTCTCAAGGGGCTCCTTCCTCGGGAATACACCTGACGGATGACTTCAAGCTAGCCTATGAGGTCTAAGCTGAACAATCGTCTACATCTGGGGCTGCTAGAAAGCGTTCCTTTGCAAGATACCTTCCGACCCTAAGACTCGCTTGGATTTTTCTAACCGAAGTCATTCTCACCCGACATTTCCCATGTGGGTTTGAGAATGGGCTTGAATTTTTGTCACCGAGCCGACATGGTCAAGGATAGACAGGGCGCGTAACTTTGAGGCCCACGCAAGATCTGACATGCGGCTCAACCCCTATCCCTTGGCAAGACATTGACCTACATTTACCACACTCCACCCAGGTGAAGTAACTGGGTACCTGGTAGGAATTTATTCCTTGAAATGCTAGAGCGCCGTATGGCAGCCGTGCTAAAGCCAGGGTAATAATCGGGAGCGCCAGGAGGGTTAAATCTGACTGACATGAGCGCTATACAAGAAGCCACTATTATTATTATTATTATTATTATCTGGGGTCTCTATCATCCTCGGGTTCAGGTTGGTTAGGAGTCCATTTCCAGATGGATTGTCAAGGCCCTGAGGCCCTTCCCGGGGGCAAAGCCAGAGCACAAAAATGTAAGGTGGTTGAATTAAGTCCTTTGTCAAATACTTTTAAATGTAGGCCTAAGCTTCAATATGTCACATTCTCAAGAAAAATAAATAGGGTCAAATAAAATTTTGACATACTTCCCAAATTACAAAACTTGGTAAGGGTATGCATGATTTAGTTTACTGTAAACTTTTGTATCTTTACAGGAAGAACATTCCTGGCCTGCTTGTTGGAACCCCTACAAATTTCTACGGCTTGGAGAAAGATGTCATCATCCTGTGTTGCACCAGCACCTCCAGGACACCTAAAGAGAATGGGTTAGTATTCAAATAATTCACTGATGCACTGGTGCCAGATCATGAATTATTATTATTATTATTAAGTATTTGGCGTCACCTGTGCCTGGGAGGCAAAAACAAACTAAATCGTTGTAACCGTTGGGTCTCTCCTCCCAGTATAACTGATTGAGGTGCGCAGGTGCACCACCACACTGGAGTTTGCCCCTACTCTTATAAGAATAGTGCAGTGGGTTCTTAACAAGCAAATATGGTTACTCCCCTCTACATCGGCCTCCGTTTAATGTCCTGTCTGATGGACGGAGTGTTTTCCACTGTGACATAGCCTGCATTTATGAAACGAGGGCCGGGCTAGCTTGCATGCCTATAGCTTAACATCTTAAAAATTGGAATGTAAAGATTTTTTGTAATGAGATAAAAAGTTTAACTTTCAAAAATACATACATATTAACATTACAGATGACCTTTCATAATGTAAGCCATCATCATTTATGTCCATTTTTTTTCCTCTCCATTCTTTCAGATTCGTGATGAACAAACAGGTCTTGAATCTAGCTTTGACTCGATCCAAGTTCAGCCTCATCATCGTTGGCAACATGAAGAGTTTACAGAAGGTACAAACTTTATTATTATTTCTCTGCATTCATTGTCTTCACAAATGTAAGCCTTTTTCTAAAGGACGAACGTTTGGATAGGGCATCCTGAATATGGCACTCGCTCCCAGCTGATATCTCTCCCCCTGCACCAAACATGGACAGATCTAAAAAGGATCTGTCCATTCTCTTTCTTTCCATGCATACAAATATCATGGTCGTGACGTCCCAGCACAAGGATAAGTCATGTAATGTATTCTTCCTTTAACTATGACTACAAATATTGTGTTCCTTGTAATTAGTTTGTAGTCTTTGACATTCAAAGCATTTCGTTCCATTCTCCCACTCTTCACCACTACCGTAACTCAAGGCTACCCATATAATGCCTAAAATCCAGTCAAAGTATCCACAATTATTTCTGTGCAGATGAGCGGCAACTGGAAATCCTTGGTAGATGATGCTACCGGTAGACAGCTTGTCTTCAGGACTTCGCAGGCTTCCTACAGTAAAGATGCCAAGGAGTGCCACAGTAAGGATCCCAAGGACAGTCTAAATGTCAAGGCTTCAAGCAAAGGGGTGGAGGAGAACAGATCGCCAAGACATAAACATGTATCTGGCGATGCTGGAATAGATAACAGGGGCAAGAGGCGGGTGCACCCTGATCCAGGGACAGAGGATCATGGAACAGCAGCGAAGGTCCCAAGGTCATGCAGCTCCGTCCAAGGCGAGTCCTCCTCTAGCGGGAAATCATTTGGTAGAATTAGAGACTCTGCACAACCTCAAAGCATACTGAAGAAGCCTGACGGAAGCTTAGCAAATTCAAGTCATGGAGAGGATAGAGGTGTCATTGTACCGGTACACCAGGTGCATCACAACCGAATGAGCCACAGTCAATCAGTTGCAAGTACAGCCCCACGCATATCTGCCAGCAGCAGTAGTACCTATAGTCCTCAAAGACAGAGGAGGAATAGCTCGGGTCTTGATGCTAGCCTTGACACACAGGATGGGAAGAGTTTACATGTAATTGCTACAGGAATGAGGGACAATGAGAGGCTTCCCAGGCAGCAGAAGGGTCAAATTATAGCAGGTCATACTGTTGGCAAACAGAAACCCCAGAGTTCAAGGAGAATGGAAACCATCGAGCATGGTAGGAGAGAAAGGAGACCATCTGGTGAAGTCACTGGTGAAGGGACTTCTCGACGTAGAAACAGTTCTAAAGGAAACGAAACGGGACAAAATCAGAGCCGTTCCTATCAGCAGTGGCAAAACAGGTCAGATCAACAACCTCAGTGTAAGAGCCGTCAACAACAAGTAAGTTCAGGGAGACAGGAGCATGATAGGAGGGAAAGGAGACCATCTGGTGAAGTCACTGGTGCAGGAACTTCTCAACGTTGGAATGGTTCCAATGGAAATGAAACGGGACAAAATCAGACTAATGACCATCAGCAACATCAAAACAGGTTCGATCGAGGACCTCAGCATCAACGCCATCAACAACAAGTGAGTTCAGAGAGACAAGAGCATGATAGGAGGGAAAAGAGACCAACTGGTGAGGCAACTGGTGCAGGAACTTCTCAACGTTGGAAAGGTTCTAATGGAAATGAAACAGGACACAATCAGCAACAGCAAAACTGGTCATATCGACGACCTCAGCAGTGGCGTCGTCAACGACCACAACCCTATCAGCGAACAGTTTCCCTGAACCAACTTGCCAACAATCCAGTACAGCTTGATCGAAACATGCTCCATAACAGGACAGTTAATGAGGCGTATGGGGGTCGTTCTACTGCCCTGACTGAGCCTCGGCCAAATATCAGGGGGAGGAAACGCTCCAACTCTGTCAAAGAACGCCAGATGAATAATTACCCATATTGAATACATTTACACAGCCAAACATCATGAAGAAGAAAGAAATGCTCCCTCTCTGTTAAGAATGTGAGATGGTATTAAACGAAAATGACATGAATAGAAATAATTGTATGAATAATGATGATGATAAAGATAACAATGATACTTGGTATAAACATGTATAAAGTTCCATGTATCTATTATGCAAAATGCTCAGGGCACTGGTCATTCATGTACATAAAAACATCTTCTATTGATTGAAAGTTGTTTTGAACATCTTTAGTTTTGATAGGCAAGATTTCAAAGGATTAAAAGATAAAACATGTCTTCCGTTGTTCCAAACGTTTGATCCAGCAAGTACAAATGATCAATCTCTGTGATTTTCTAGTTATCAGTACTTGTACAAGAAGTAGAAAAGATTTTGGTAGTCTTGGGCAGTAAGGGAGGATGGTGGAAAATGAAAAAAGTAGAATTGTACTTAAGAGAGACTGAAACGATGAACTTGCACAGCATCATCTCATGCTTAACCAAATAAACTCTTATGTTACGTAGTGAAGAATTTAGAGGAACCAACAGTGCAGTGATTTACGGGACGATACTGCTACAGCTGACCTGAAATGGCGTTAGAGAAACGCTTTTAGTGCAGCACCCCTTTAAGTTGTTAACTGCATATGTTTTTAATAAACAACAGATTCACCAAAACTTGCTGATTTAATGGGCTAAAAAATGGCACAATAAATCAGAGAACTTATAATGACAGAACAGCAAGTCTATTGATATCCTTGGAAAGTATGAATGCAACAGTATAGTCCAAAAGGGGGAGGAAATACTGAGAAAATACCGAGAGGCTATACAGGCGCGGATCCAGGATTTCTTAGGGGAGGGGGCCCAACTTTTTTGTTTTTTGCTCACGAAAATTTGAAAATCGCGCCGGCCGAAAAGTCAATCAGTGGGGGGGGGGGGGGGGGGAGGGGGGGGGGGGGGGGGGGGGGGGTAGTGAGCACAATTTTTTTTTTGGTCCTCGAAAATTTTAAAATTTGCACCCCCCCTTGAGCGCCAGGGGGGGGGGGGGCCAACCCCAAAAAAGGGTAAAAATCACGTGATTTTGCATGATTTTTTTCTCAAGGGGGGGGGGGGGGGGCCCGGCCCCCCCTGGATCCGCCACTGGGCTAGAACAGTAGAATCCTACTTGCAGGTCATTGTAAAGATATTCCTTCAAATTCCAGATACTGTCTGGTTTCACCCTGAGAATTCTTATGCTAATTTGCCTGTATTCATGTCGTCCATTTTTAATTGAGGCTATTCCTTTATGCACGGGTATTACATGTCTTTATACTTCCAGAAATATTATGACAGCTCAATTTCATCAGCTGACTTTCTTCAGTGCGCATGTACTGTCAGGACCAGTTTTCATAAAGCTTGTTATCAATCGCAAGTTGTAGTAACTGTTATAAGCTACAGTAATCGTGGTATGTGATTGGTTGAGATCTAATTTGTCACAGTAATATAGCATTTGCTATTGATAACAAGTTTTATGAAATAGAGCCCAGAAGTTTTCATCAACAAGATATCATTTGAGTCAGAAACATCATGCCAATCCATTTTCATCAGCTGCCTATTTTTACTATTACTGTTCAAATTTTCATTTTTTTTGTTTTACTAAACTGTTAAAAAAAAAAAACCTGTTCAAATTTTCAATTTATATGAAGTTTTATACCAAAGTTTATGCATGTTTATGTATATATTAAGCAGGATGTGTATAGAAATGTTGCATGGTTGTAATCATGAAAAATGTGAAATTTGAAGTTTTCTTAATGTGCAAAAGAAGAATAAATCAAGCAAATTTTAGTGCCACTTGAAGAATGAAAAGAGAATGTATATGCATATAATTTAACAACTACATTATTCCTACCCTTGCCAAGTTTCGTATTTTTTTAAGTATGCTATTGTGGTACATAATTCCTTTGTATATTGTTGGTTGATATTCATTATTCCAAGTATCGAAAATGCCAAATAAATAATGTGAAAATTTAATAATCATGTGCATATACATGTACATATAGTGGATTCAAACTCATAAGTGCCTTTACTTTTATGCAGTTTTCAATATGCAATGATATTGTGTTTATAGGAATTTAACTGTCATAAAACTTTATATATATAAATATATATGTTCATTTCTATATATTCATTTATAAAGTGGAGCAATTATGGAAATATATTATATATGATATATAGTATTTGGAACTTATACAATTATATGAATCATTTATAATCAAGCGATAGATACTTTTGTGAACATACTGAACATAGTGAAACATAATTTGTCAATATACTGTGTATATAATTAAAAAAAAGATATTTCTCTTATTATGGTACATTAAAAATAGCATTTGCATAACAAATCAACTATAGCTTGTAAGTATCGGCTTGCATGGTAATGTAAATATACAGTAGGCTTGCGGGTGCACTGCTTTTTTGTGGACCCCCCCCCCCCATTTCCTCAGAAATTAAGAATTTCTTGTAATAATTTTGTTATGTGCAAAGTGTATTTGTATAGTGTATTTGTGTAGTTTCCAAAAAAATTGAATTATGTATGAAAAAAATATGTAATATTTTTGTTTACCTTTCTGTTGGAAATGAAATAAATATGAATGTGAATATATGAATATATTCACTCCTGACGACGGATAGTCAACCTGTTTTGAAACGTCGAGCCACTCCCGCCACCCATCCTCTCCAAGCGCTTTAGTTCTCTTTAGAACTATAAGCTAAGAAAGATAACCAACAGTCTTTTTCAAGACCACACCAACAGTCCTTTTCAGGACTACACACCCTCAAGAAAGATTACCGAGAGTCCTTTTCAGGACTCCTCAATCCTCCCTCTCTCTCACATGGTGCACCCGCAAGCCTACTGTAAATCAACTATAGAAGAAAAAAGTTAAACACCGACCAGGTTTAACATTGGTGATTTCACTATTTCTAACGGCAATTTATAATATGATGTACATGCAAATTCATCTTTTAAATGAAGTATGTGCAGCTTTCAAATACTGTTTTATTCTGTCTTTGTTTTTAAATAGTATTCTTCCGTGATCAGTGTCTGATAATTATGATGATGATCGATTGCTTTTACATTAGTATGTATTGAAATAGCATCTATGTGTGATCCTCGGTATTTTGTGAACATGCCAAAGTCATTTTATGATGGTACTGTACATAATGCTTTTTAGATCAATAACATTTAATTTGCCAAAACAAGATGTCATTCATAATCGTGAATGAAGCTGAAAATTTCATGAATTGTCTTGTTTCAGATGTATATAAAAAATCAAGAGCTTTCATTACCGGTAATCAAATTCGTTTTTTTTCCTCAAGTATATTTTATATACACGTGTGTACAGCGATTTCAAGAAGTGTTACTGGTAGTTCAGTGTAGTGATGTTAGCGGCTGATGATGTTGATGTTTCCAGTTGACCCCACTGGAAATAAGGTCTCGAGCTTTCGTGGGTTATCCTGTTTAAGCTGACTTATTTCTGAGGGGCGTTTCATGAAACAATTAGTCGGTGGTTTCACCCACTAATATCATGTTCACCGACAATTTAGTCAGCGCTGACTAAATGTGACCAATCACTGGCCTGGAAAATAGTCGGTGACTACAGAATTGTCGGTGAACATGATATTAGTGGGTGAAAACCACTGACTAATTGTTTCATGAAACACCCCCTGATCTGTTATTATTGTATATTGTTGTATGTTGGAAGCTTGTCGAATAAGAATCAATCATCAATCAATCAATATTGATAATGATTACATGTATATTGGTCATTATGGTGACAACGTTGATGGTGATGATGATGCTGATCAATGATGATGATAGTGATATGTTGATAACTGATGTTAATAACAAAAAGTGGGTTCTTGTATAGCTGCTCATGTCTGTCAGACTGGACACTCCTGGTGCTCCTCAATTATTACCCCGGCTTTAGCATGGCTGCCCTGATAAATAATAAACTGCAAGACATGAATTGCGAATCATGCGATCCAAATTCTTGTAACATATCCTCTAGACCACCATCTACAGTAACAATGATGATAGAAATGTTGATATTCACTTATGATGTGATGATGATAGTGCGTTGAATGATAACTGATGATGATATTGATAACATTATGATGATGATGACGATGATAATATTGATACTGGTAACTGATGGTTGTGATGATGATGTTGATAACTGATGATGATGATATTGATGGTTGTGATGATGATGATAGTGATGTTCATAACTGATGATGATAGTGATATTGGTAACTGATGTTGAAGATGGTGATCATGATGGCATAGTGATGATGATAACTGATAATGACGACGGTGATGATGGTAAGCAGACACTTTTTGTTTGTTTTTTGGAGTCCAAAAAAAAATCGCAACGACTGAGCCAGCCGAAAAGTCGTTCAGTAGGGGGGGAGGGGGGGAGGGTAGTGAGCACATTTTTTTTTTTGGGGGGGGGGGTCCTCGAAAATTTTAAAATTTGCACCCCCCCCCCCCCCTTGAGCGCCACTGGCACCTAGCTCCCAGATTTGAATAGGGGCATTTATCAGAGATGGTAAGAGGCTATTATAAGATTGCAGAACGGACACCTACTAAAAATAAAAAGGGGTACTAATATCTGAACTAAAAGGGGCACTTCTTGTATGTAAAATGGGGCACTTAATGATGGGGTACCTGAATAAGTGGGGGTGGGGTACTGTGCCCCTGCCCCCGGCTATGCAGTCTCTGAAATACACGTAAATTAGAGAGGCGGACGGAATAGATCCATTTATTTTTGAGAAGTGGTATCGTTCCAATATCGATTAAGTACATAATTGACAGATACTATTCTTTGATCATATAATATATGAAAAAAATTCTAAACAGTTTAGGAAAATGTACTGTTTTCCCCCTTTTATTAGGGCCTACCAAAATATCAATGTACAGTGAATCCAGTTTTGCTATATGAAAAATATGTACTATTTTGTTTAAGATAAATGATTTATACAATATGTATTTGATATGAGAGAATATAATAACAAATATCTTTAAAAAAAATAAAATCGTAACGGGTTGTTGCGGGGATTCCCCGTAGGGATTCCCCTAAACTTCCGTGTACATCGCGGCCATTTTGGGACGCAAATTTGTGCTGTGTTATAGCTACGTTTACACTGCTTGCCGCGTTGGTTGTCGTCCATCGTCCATTGTATTTTTGTTTAAGCATACGGTGTTTTTTTCGTGCCAAAGAAAGGAAGGATAGATTTTACTATCTGTGAAGGACATAGAACACACCAATAACATTATCAAGCTTAGTGCAGATGGCCAGATGAGCAAAAGAGGGAAACGTTTAGAATGTCCTAATTGTCATGACGATTCTCTCAATTTATGCTTTATAGATGATGATGAGCTAGTACAGAGAGCTGAATGAAAAGAAATGAATGAAAGTTAAGAAGTGGAAGACACCATGGATGAAGGATCCCCAACTGAATCTGATAGTGACATCATATCCTCAGACACTAGTTGTGACCCTCGAGATAGTCCCTCAAACTCTGCCAAGGATTTGCAAGATAATGCCTCGAACTCTAATTCAGATTTACCAGATATTTGGGGCAGTGACAACGAAAGCCATAATGACGATGATGTCGACAGAGATTTGCCATCCACAAGCACTGGGAGGGTCACAGGGTCAGGATGTGGGAAAAGGCATATTGCAATAAAGCAGGATACCTCACTGCCATCAGTGGGGAAAGATAGTGCAGTGGATTATGAGTCTGACCTTCAAGCAGAGGAACAACTTAGTGGCATTGGAGAGAAAAATTCAGAACTGGATGGTGATTATAAATCTGAAGGACAACCTCGTAATCAAAGACATCATAATGAACCAAGACATATGAGTGGAGACGTTAGTCACGCTAGTGACGGCAAAGGCAACGGAATGACTCTGGGAGACCTTTGGAAGGAATCTCAGTCGTATAGTCAAGTGGACGCTAGCGCTGTAGAATACAAGTTTGAGGGTAGGCCTTGGGACTTACATCTAGCAGACTTCAGCAACCCAGATATTTTTTTTCAATCTCAGGAGTCGCCGTTGCCTCAGGATTCACCATCAGCTGTTCACATTTCATCAGGTATTGTCAGATCCAGCGACTGTGAAGGCAATGATGCTCCATCTGCAAGTGGCACATACCTTCGTCATCCAGGTATGATTTTTTTCCCTTCAATATAATGATCTCCATCTTCTGCTCATTAACATTGCAATTAGTTGTTGGGAGATTTCCTTGATCCAAGAAACAGAGTTTATCCTGATTCTGAATCTAATCAGGGGACATACTTGTTTGATTAGGTTCTAGGACGATTGCCCCCTTTCACCCCTGGTCAATTACCAGTGGGACAATTACTCCCCAAGGATAACCACCCACCGAGGATTATTACTCCCTTGGAAAATTATCCCCTAGGACAATTACACCCCAAGGACAATCGATCCCACACAAAATAACCACCGCCCCCAAATACCCCCCCCCCCAAAAAAAAAAGAAGAAAAAAAAATAAAATAAAAATAAACAAAATATCGTCATGGGACAGCCACCCAACCCCAATTTCATCCACAATCAGCGACAACTATGCAACGACAACAACCCCCGAGGAAAATTTTACGCCCCCTGGAAAATAACAACAGTTGTGATTTTCCAGGGGGCTGTTCATTAAAGGGGAAGTCTACCCTGTTAATAAGTTGTTTTTAATAAAAGAAGAAAATATGGAGAAACAAGTTACTGAGAGTTTGATAAATATCCAATAACAAATAAAAAAAAGTTATGATATTTTGAAGTTGTCATCAATGAAACACAAATTAGCAAAATTGTGACGTATCATGCGAGCTCCCCTCCCATTTTTCTTGTACTAAAATCTTCCAAAAAGCTGTTTTCTTCCGTAAGAAAATTTTTAATTATACATTCACCCTAAATATATTTAAATGCAAATATGTTTTTTTGTACAACCCCTGTTTGAAACAAATATATTCTGTCATAAAATAACGTAGATTTGAAAGTTTATGGTTTTCCTTGGGTAATTGTCCGGGGTGATTGTCTTAGGGGGGGGGGGGTTGTGACTCAATATCAATTTCCCATATCTTTTATTAGATATTAGGTATAATGCTGAAATTGATAGTAACTTGAGTACTTATAATCCTGTGTTATCCCATAATTACTTTGGAGCGACAACTGCATAGTTTAAATATAGATGTGCGCAATGAGCAACCTTTCCCGAATTCTTGCAAATTGCTTTAGGATAGCTTGGAAAAAATGTTAACTACCGGGTACTTGCTTTCTTTCCATTTTTATTTTTTATGGTCTCCATTTTCTCTGATTATTCACAACACTACATGAAATAGCCATTATTATCCATAAATCTTATAAATATTTTGCCTTTAATATTTGTTAAATGTTACTCGTTGGATTTAAAATGCACCATATCCTAAAAGTGTTAAATAATATTCCAACCGTTTCACTATTGAGTCAAAAAGTTTGACATCGAAGTCTACATAATAAAATATGATAGTACAACATGAAACATTGTCCTTTTTACTTCAGGCTGTGGGTTGGATGGTAGCTGCAAAGATGAAATCAACTTGGCCATGACAAAAAGCCGTAGAAAACCTCACTGCAGTGATGATAATTCATCGACTAATGAAGGAGACCTGACATCCTGGGACAATGTACAGAAGAAGCCAGACTTTGATAAACAGTCTGATGCCAGAAGAAAGCTGAAGGTGAAACGTAAAAAGAAATGTAGGGACAGGCGAGGTCAGAAGAAGAAGCAGAAAGTTGCAAAGAGTGGTAAATGTTACTCTTTGGGTGATGTTGGTTCATTACAGGATCCTGAATCCAACCAAGTTTCAACGAATGAGGTTTGCTTGCAGCAAGGACGGGGTCCAGAGCAATCTGAAAAAATGGACAGGTTGCCTCCTAAAATTCCTGCACGCCCGTTGAATGAAGGTTCAGGCGAAGAGCCTATTGATACTGTCAGCGATGAAGACACTCATAAAATAAGAAGATGTCTCGTCAGCACAAAAGCTTCAGCGGTGTCCGAGAATGAGACAGACTCGGATGAAACTATGATTGACAGTAATGATGGAGATGATCACGGGCACACTGAAAATATGACAGGCGATGAAGTGGGTGAGGTAGTCCTTAAAGAAACAACTGAGAATTTTGATACACAGCCTTCCTCACCTATTCTTCATGAAGAAAGTGATGATTCTTTAAGTGATGCAAGCGAAGAGTTCCCTACCTCTGACACGATCGTTCCAAGAGATTTCCCACCACACTTGTTGGAGGATAAGGAACATAATGATAGAGAAGCTGCTGACCTAGAACCTAACTATCACGTAAGCTGTCAAAGCCCTGATGAAGAAATCCACCAACCTCAAAGGGATGATGCAGGTTTAGAAACTTCTTCAAATAATGGTGTCAATCCGCCACGTTTGCAAATAGAGGATGACTCTCATAGACAGTATTTCCCCACAGATTCTCAGTTGAGTATCAAGATGGAGAATGAGGATACTGAAGATCTGACCACTCAGCAGCTACAGCAAAAGCCTCTAGAGGATGACTCTCAAGGACAGTATTTCCCCAAAGATTCTCAATTAAGTATCAAGATGGAGAATGAAGACACTAAAGAACAAGTTAATCAACATGAGAAAGGAACAGTATCCCATGGTAAAGAGGCACAAGCAGCTATGTCCATTCCTTCCAAAGGAGTTTCAAAGGACGTTGATAAGGACTCTGGAAAGAAACTTCTTTCTTGCCAACGAAATGCATGGTGTCCCTTAGAGTTGGATCCCCAAGAAAGATTCTTGTTGCTACAAGAGGAGCAATTAGCAATGTCCATTCCTTCCAAAGCTCACTTATCCGGAGGAATTTCCGAGGACCTCGATAAGAACTCTGGAAAGAAATTTCTTCCATGTCTACGAAATGCATGGTCTCCATCAAGGTTGCACCCACAAGAAAGATTGTTGTTGCTACAAGAGGGAGAATCAGAACCTGTGTATTCTTTCTCGCTAGAATCTCTAGCTGTGCCTTTTTCTCGGTGTGTGGCCCCAAGCATATCTACAGCAGCACCTGACAAATTGGTTGCAAGTAGAAATGAACAACACATCCAGAGACCCTCAAGACCTGATAAATTACCGTCAACTACAAAACAAAATGATCGTCAAAAGGAGAAGAATGATACCAAGAGGACCGACTCTCTACAGGACATTCCTGACACTTCATCTAATACACTCAGCTTAAGTTCCAAGGAACCTTCAGAAAGCCCTTCTACATCCATGATCCGTTCCGTGCAGGATTGCCTCCAGCAACCTGCATCTTTGAACTCAAATGAGATGGGTTTGGAGGATAGACTACCTGCAGATTCAAGAAGTTTGTCACATGGTCATTCATCAATTCCAAGTGTTTCCTTTCCTTCAACAAGTTTGTACTCCAGTAACATCTCTGAATCCTCAAGGACTCTTAACGGTGGTCATTCTGCCTCTTCAGGCACCTCTGAAACACCCAGTACCAAACCAGACAGGTTAAAACCTACTGGAGATGATAGATCTGCTTGTCCAAGTGACCCTCCAGACCCATCATTGGTGGCATCGGACATGAGCAAACCTCTAAAGAAGAGACGCCACTCGCAGACATCAAGTGTTCCGTCAGGAAACCAAGGGACAGAACCTTCCAAGGTTAATCAGGTAAGTCCCTCTCTTCATCTGCAACTACTGGAGCCTTTCTCTCGGTGTGTGGCCCCAAGCATATCTACAGCAGCACCTGACAAATTGGTTGCAAGTAGAAATGAACAACACATCCAGAGACCCTCAAGACCTGATAAATTACCGTCAACTACAAAACAAAATGATCGTCAAAAGGAGAAGAATCCCACCCTGAGGACCAACTATGTACAGGACGTTCCTTGCACTCCATCTAATCCACCTAGTTTAAGTTCAAAGGAACCTTCAGAAACCTCTTTTGTTTCCGTGATCCATTCCGAGCAGGATTGCCTTCAACAACCTGCATCATCAAACTCAAATGAGATGGATTTGGAGGATATACTACTTGCAGATTCAAGAAGTTTGTCACATGGTCATTCATCAATTCTAGGCGAGTCCTTCCCTTCAACAAGTTCGTACTCTGCAAACATCTCTGAGACCATTGGTGGTCAAGCTGCCTGTTCAGGCACCTCATCGACACCCAATACTAAACAAGACAGGGCAAAACCTACCGAAGAAGATAGATCTACTTGTCCAGGTGACCCTCCAAACCCGTCATTGGTGCCATCGGACATTAGGAAACCTCCAGAAAAGAGACGCCATTCGCAGACATCAAGCCATCCGGCAGATGCTGTGATGCCTGCAGGGGCCATCTTGTTACCTCCAGTAGTGGACACGGGTAGCAGATCATCTCAGGAACTTAACAGCAAAGGTAACGCCCCTATGATCGTAGGAGAACAGCATGTGCCTAATGCTCTAAGAGATATCTCTCAGAGTCAATCTTTTCAAGCCACCCAGGCTTCGTGCGATGGGGTGGAGAAGATCAGATCTTCTGGCAATGATGGAGTAGATAACGGGTGCAAGAAGCGAGTACGCTTAGACACAGGGACAGAGGATCATGGAAAAGCAGCAAAGGTCACAAGGTCATGCGACTCTATCCACGGTGAGTCCTCTAGCGGGAAGTCATTTGGTGGAAGTAGCCATTTCCCCCCATCATCCAGAGACCCTGCTCAACCTCGAAGCATACTAAAGAAACCTGACAGAAACGTAGCATCAACGAGTCATGAAGAGGATATAGGTGTTGTTGGTCACCAGGTGCATCGCAACCTAAGGAGCCACAGTCGATCAATAACAGCCCAGGGCATAACTGCCAGCAGCAGTAGCACCTGTAGTCCTCAAAGACAGAGGAGGAAAAGTTCGCGTCTTGATGCTAGCCTTGACACAGAGGATGGGAAAAGTTTACAAGTAAGTGTTACAGGAACGGGGAACGATGTGAGATTTTCCAGGCAGCAGAAGGGTAAAAATAAAGCAGGTCAGCAGCGAAAACACCCGAGTTCAAGGACTGACAGCATTAAGCATGGTCGGAGAGAAAGGAGACAATTTGGTGAAGCCACTAGATCTGGAACTTCTCAAACTCGGAAGGGTTCTAAAGGAAATGAAACTGGACAAAATCAGAGCCTTGACCGTCAGAAGCGGCAAAGCAGGTCAGATCAACGACCTCAGCGTCAAAGCCGTCAACAAAAAGTGAGTTCAGAGAAGCAGGAGCATGTAAGGAGTGAAAAGAGATCATCTGGTGAAGTCACTGGTGCACGAACTTCTCAACGTCGGAAGGGTTCTAATGGACATGTAACGGGACAAAATCAGAGCCTTGACCATCAGAAGCAGCAAAGCAGGTCAGATCAACGACCTCAGCGTAAGAGCCGTCAACAAAAAGTGAGTCCAGAGAAGCAGGAGCATGTAAGGAGTGAAAAGAGATCATCTGGTGAAGTAACTGGTGCACGAACTTCTCAACGTCGGAAGGGTTCTAATGGAAATGTAACGGGACAAAATCAGAGCCTTGACCATCAGAAGCGGCAAAGCAGGTCAGATCAACGACCTCAGCGTAAGAGCCGTCAACAAAAATTGAGTCCAGAGAGACAGGAGCATGATAACAGTGAAAGAAGACCAACTAGTGAAGTCACTGGTGCAGGAACTTCTCAACGGTGTACCGGTTCTAATGGAAATGAAACGGGACAAAATCAGAGCCTTGACCATCAGCAACGGCAAAACAGGTCAGATCAACGACCTCAGCGTAAGAGCCGTCAACAAAAAGTGAGTCCAGAGAGACAGAAGCACGATAACAGTGAAAGAAGACTAACTAGTGAAGTCACTGGTGCAGGAACTTCTCAACGTCGTAACGGTTCTAAAGGAAATGAAACGGGACAAAATCAGAGCCTTGACCATCAGCAACGGCAAAGCAGGTCAGATCAACGACCTCAGCGTAAGAGCCGCCAACAAAAAGTGAGTCCAGAGAGACAGGTGCATGATAACAGTGAAAGAAGACCAACTAGTGAAGTCACTGGTGCAGGAACTTCTCAACGGTGTACCGGTTCTAATGGAAATGAAACGGGACAAAATCAGAGCCTTGACCATCAGCAACGGCAAAGCAGGTCAGATCAACGACCTCAGCGTAAGAGCCGTCAACAAAAAGTGAGTCCAGAGAGACAGAAGCACGATAACAGTGAAAGAAGACTAACTAGTGAAGTCACTATTAGAACTTCTCAACGTCGTAACGGTTCTAAAGGAAATGAAACGGGACAAAATCAGAGCCTTGACCATCAGCAACGGCAAAGCAGGTCAGATCAACGACCTCAGCGTAAGAGCTGTCAACAAAAAGTGAGTCCAGAGAGACAGGAGCATGATAACAATGAAAGAAGACCAACTAGCGAAGTCACTGGTGCAGGAACTTCTCAACGTTGTACCGGTTCTAATGGAAATGAAACGGGACAAAATCAGAGCCCTGACCATCACCAGCAGCAAGGCGGATCAGATCAGCGACTTCGGCGTCGAAGCCTTCATAAACAAGACCAGCAGCAAAGTGGGTCCGATCAACTACCTTCGCGCGAGTCCAGCTTGCTCAAAAGCTGCTCCATAACATAACAGTTAATAAGGCATATGGGGGTCGATTTTCTGCTCTGACTGAGCCTTATCCAAATACCAGGAGGAGGAAACGCTCGAAATCTTCCAAAAACCGCCAGATGAATTAAAATTACGCAGATTAAATGCTCAACAGTCCGAAGTGGTTGCATTTACTCGACCAAACATCAGGAGGAAAAGGGGAATACTTCCTTTTCCGTCAAGACAGTGAGATGGTAATGATAATGACATGAATAATAATCGTTTTATGACTGATTGATTGATTGATTTTTATTCGACAAGCTTCCAACATACAACAATAAACAATAATAACAGATCAAAAATAAGTCAGCTTGAACAGAATAACCCACGAAAGCTCGAGAGCTTATTTCCAGTGGGGTCCCTTAATAAGGGTGGTTACGATAGTAGTGATAAAGGATATAAACATGTGGAAAGTTCCATGTATCTATTGCGCAAAATGCTCTGGGCTCTGGTGATTCATCTAGGTCTACATAAAAAAAAAAGTCAATTAATTGAAAGTTGTTGTTTTGAACAACTTTTGTTTTGAGAGGCAAGATTTCAAAGGATTAACAGATCAGATGATTCATGTACATGTATGTTTTCCGTTGTTCCAAACGTTTGATCCAGCAATTAAGTTCAAATGAACCATCCCTGTGGTTTCTAGTTTTTTGGTACGTGTACAAGAATAAAGGAGAGTTGGGAGACTTTGACAGTCTGGGAGGATGGTGGAAAATGAACAAAAAAAAAGTGGTACGTAGGAGAGACTGAACCGATGAAGTTGCACAGCACCATGTGGTGGTCAACTTGTGAACAGTACGTAACCCACTGAACTCTACATTAAGTAGTAAAGAGTTTGAGGAACCAACAGCTCAGTGATGTACGGGATGATACTGCTACATACAGACCTATATGCAGTACCCCTGTAAGTTGTGAAATGCATGTCTTATTAACCAGATTCTCAAAACTTGCTGATTTAAACCGCGGCAGGGCCGTGTTTCATAAAACTTGTTATCAATCACAAGTTTAATACAATAAATGTTTTAAGCTACTGAATTCGTGGAATTTGATTGGCTGCGATATAATTTGTCACAGTAATGTAGCATTCGTTATAGATTACAGGTTTTATGAAATAGGGCCTAGAAGTTTTGATCAAGAAGATTATTTTCTTCCCGAAACATGCAAATCCATTTTCATCAGCTGCCTATTTCTTTTTTTTTAATTTTTTTTTTTTTTACTAAACTCTCAACATTTTCAATTTATGTGAAGTTTTATTCCAGTTTTGCATGTATATATCTGTAAGAAACAGGATGTGTATAGAAACGTTGCATGGCTGTAATTATCAAGTACGTGTATGTTAAAGGTAAAGACCAGTATTGGAAACGCCTTAATTTCAAAAAAATGAAATGGAAGCTCTTATTACCAATCATGTAAAAGAATATGTTTTGAATATAATACATGATGATAAAAATGTTGACGGGAAACCGCCTACTTATTGATATATTTGGTAAATTAGTGTATCTCTCGCCTGTTGAGAGATACAAATGCACGTGTCGCGCACGTGTGTGTAGTCCCATATACATCTGTCTGTGTACAGTGATTCTAACTTTATGAAGACTTGGCCAAATTTCTTATCATTTTGATGATTCCAGAACCTTGCAGTACATCTATGCTAGATGATCAACCTTTTCTGATCGATTTCACAATGTTTCTTTCACAATGCAATCGCATGACCATAACTGGTGAAGTTTTCTTTAAGTGCAAAAGAAGGATATATCAAATATACACATTTCAGTGCCATTTGATGTATGAAAAAAAGAATGTACCGTATGCATATAATTTAACTACTAAGTTATTCATACTCTTACCAAGTTTCGTATATTTTAAGCATTTCAGAAAATGTATTTGTCCGATATATGTTTCTTGAGAATGTGACATATTGTAGCTTACATCTAAAAGTATTTCACAAAGGCCGTATTCAACCAGTACACCTTTCATTCTTGAGTTACAAATAACACAAAAACATCAAATTTAAAAGGGGGTATGAATAGTTTAGTTGTTGACTGTATATACTACACAGTTCTGTTCTATAATCAATTACACGTTATGAGTGCAGACGTAGAATTATACGAAGGTTGTACATGTCACTGAAGATATTCCTGTGTATTGCCCTTCAGGTGTCGTAGTGGGTTGGATTAAGGCATTTATCTTCAAATGCAAAGGTCGTGGGTTTGATCTCCGACACGGCACCTATAAATTACTGTGTAAATATACTTTTCTGTTTGCGGGGGCTCTTTTAAGAGTTGGTGTTGTATAATAATCACTCACAATGATATTTAAGTATTTCATTGATTGTTTGCTTTTTAAAGGAGATCTATTTATTCAGGCTTACCAGAGCTTAGCCACTCACCACTCCCGGCCGAGAACTTTTTTTCTTTTTCGCCGTTTCTGTTATTATGGTACATAATTTCTTTGTATATTATTGGTTGTATTCATTATTTCAAATATTAAAAATGCCAAATAAATAATATGAAAACAGTACATGTACGTATAGTGGATTCAAACTCAAAAGTGCCTTTATTTTCAAGCAGTTTTCAATCTGCAATGATATATATTTTTAATGTTTGTAGCTTTAAGGCTTGTTCAGATATGGTGCTGTTAACCGGCCGCAAAAACAAACATCGCTGCAGTTTTTGTTTTATATTAACTTCTGAGCATGAATTGCAACTGTGTGCACCAAAGCCTTTGTTATATACAGAAATATACAGAAATGTGAAAAGTATTACACTTTACGTCATCGTAAAATAAAAAAAAAACGTCGCAGACGGTTTTGCAGCGCTATATCTGAACGAGCCTATATAAGATAGAGGAGGGTTGAGGTTACTGGTACGTTTTCCTGTAGAAGAAACGGTGTATAATTATTATGGTTTTAGTTTGGCGGATTTTAGCATATTTAGATGTAGCTTGAAGGAAAAAAGGAGAGAGATTGATAGATTCCACAATACATGTATAATGAATTATTCACAATAGACAAAGTACAGGAATGGATGAAAGGTATATGTAAATTGCTGATGTCACTATAGAGGAGTGTTCGTAGTTTATCAATAGTTTGATTAATTCTGTCACTGCAAGAAATTTATTTATTCGACTAGATTTTTAAATAATGATACAAATTGTCTTCCTGTTATATGTACAACTATATATTCATTACAGCTTGGCTCCACACTATATCGTGAGTGTAAGCTTAGGTCCGCAGTGAACTGTTTTAGAATCTGTATTCGTGAGCCATGTGTAAACATCTTGAAATTTGTTTAGGGTCCAGACTTTGGACACCCTTGTTTCCCTGGCGCATGTCAGAGGTCTGCTTTACAATATTGTGGAGTCCAAACCTACTTGTATTATCTAGCTGTGTTATAGAATGCCTTCGTGTTCACTGCAGTATCGTGTAAATATAGGAATTTAACTGTCAAAGAAATATGTTAATTTCTATAAATTCATTTATAGAGTGTAGGAACTATGGAAGTATATTATTTTCTTTTTTCATTAACGTATTTGGAACATATACACATTATATAAATCCTTGATAATTAACTGATATATACTTTTTGTGAACATACTGAACATAGTGATACATGAATTGTCAACATACTGTGTACATAATAAAACAAAAAGTTGTTTCCCTTATGTTTAAGTTGTATATGGTACATTAAAATAGAATACAAAGAACATCATGTCTTTAAAAGTAAATAAAAAAAATTGCAGCAATTTTTTTTTATCTTTTAACTATATGAATGACAATTAACTATGGGCAATGAAGCCTTTGTTGCCCGCCTTCGTTGCAAGTCAAAGGATTTGCATGTTTTCAATGAACCGAATGTTATAAGATACATAATTGTGAAGCGTACACTTTACGTCATCGTTTTATGTATTAAAGGTGTACATGTAACTATTGTTTTATAGAGGGGTGTTTCGTAGTTTATCAATAGTTGTAGTGTGGGTATTTCGCATTCTGTCACTTAAAAACATGGATTGTATGAACATTGATATTTACATTAAATACATATTTGTTAATTGAATTGTAATTTTTTCTTCCCGTTAGATGTACAGGTAATTGTGAAACGTATTACACTTAATGTCGTCGTTTAAAAATAAAAAAAAAAAAACGAGCCTATATAGCGGAAAGATGAGGGTTGAGGTTGCTGGTATGTTTTCTTATAGATGAAACGGTATATAATTATTATGGCCTTGGTTTGGAGGATTTTAGTACATGTAGATGTAGCTTGAAGGAAAAAAAAAGAGAGAGATTGATAGATTTCACAATATAATGAATTATTCACAGTAGACATTTCTGTAACTTTGTGGATTGTTGTGTTTTAAATATACATGACTGTAGATGCATCTTATATGTATGCTTTATATTATAGCTTTTTGCACACAAAAAGGAAAGGTAAATAATTGTAAGCTTTTAAGTTCATTTTATATCTGCTTGGAAAAAATATCATCAAAGAAATGTCCCCTTTTATTACTACATATATTCAAATTAACTTTAATGTAAATGTCAGAAGAAAAAGCTTAGAAGTTTGGACCTGCTCATGTGTGTTATAACATATATACAACGTCATGTACCTATTTCTTTGTCAATATGGCATGTATGCAAGTCCATCTTTTACATGAAATATGTGCAGCTTTCAGCAATCTTATGATTCCGTCGTCAGTGCCTGATGATGATGATCTTTAGCTTTTACATGAATGTATATGTTGCAATAGCATATATGTGTTTCCACAGTATTCATTAAACATGCAGAAGTCATTTTATGCTTGTACATAATGCTTTTAGATGAACAAAATTTATATTGTTAAAAAGAGACGTGTCATATTCTTAATCGTGAATGAAGCTGAAAACTCATGAATTGTAATCATTAAACATGCAGAAGTCATTTTATGGAGGTACATAATGTTTTAGATGAAGAAAAAAAAATTCATATTGTTAAAAAGAGACGTGTCAT